CTCAGCTCTCCTTTGCTATCTGTTCACTGCTGCTGAGTGGCAGAGATTTCAGCAGTCAGGCCAGAACTCCTACAAATATGCAACAGCTTTTTGTCTTTGACTTTTTTTTCAGCAACATACAAAGGGAAAGGTCTGTACAGCCGTATGTGTAGGCCAAGGTACCTGAACAAACAGACCACTTTTCAGGGCTTCTTGAAGTTTGTAGCAGTACTGCTACACTTCCATAGAGAGGAACGTTGGGTACTCCTCACTATTTGTCAGATTTCCTGTGTTACTGACACTGATTTTAAGTTTCTCATGGTTGGTCTCCTGGGTCTTTTCCGCTCTCATCAACCACTGTTTTACAGTAAGAACTCTGTGTTGTCTACCTTAGAAAGCTCACCAGCTTTATATGACATGGGAAAAGGCTTATTCTTCTGCAGAACACCTGGAATAAACACACCAACTCTTTGTTTCAATTTTAACCCACCTACAATATTTGCAGGCTCATCCGCCTGATGTAAAATGGTTCTCAGCTTTACTTAGGAAACTTCCTGCATGGCACCAAGGACTGTTCGGCAGATCATCTCAGCTGCTCACCTTCACAGTTTCTGACAAGTGTGGACTGCAGATATGTTCAGAGGTTCATTCATCCTGCAAAGGACTCTACACTCATTAGAATCTCACCCTTCAGTGTCCACACACCCTATCTTCAAGGATTTGCTGTTACCCTGCAATTCATGGGAACCTTCCCCCCTTGTGTGGAAGCACACCTTGCATCTTCATTCTGGCCCTGTCAAACTTTCCTTCTGGCAAACTCTCTGTAATTCTATCTTTGTCAGTCTCCACTTCTCCTTCCCCCCCACCCCCCAAAAAAAACCCAAACAAACAAACAAAAACAACAACAACAACAAAGACATATTGGAACCTAAAAATCATTGTCACCAGAAGAGAAAATGCTAAAAAAAAAGTAGATGCCAGTGTGAGCAGAGCTCTGGACCTGTGATAATCTTTTAGAAGCTGAGGAAGCAGAGCATCTTTAGTCTCAAAAAGAGATGGTTTCTGGGACCCAATAGCAATCTGCAGCAAGTTGTTAGCCCCTGCCCAGGGTCAGACATGCATGCTGTACCAACCAGATACCAAGGAGTCTCGCTTCCTTAGTGATGTGGTACAGACTAACAAGGAACATGACGTTGCTAAGCAATGGATGCAAAGATGCTGTTTGAGAAAGTCAACCCTAGTCAGCAGATAGCAACAAAAGTCAGCACAGAAATACCCATGATGTTCATTCTGATTAAACAAGGGTATCAACAGAAATTACCGTCTGAGCTGCCTCATATAGCAAACTTACTAGTAAGCATTTGGAGAACTTGTAAATACAGTACGGCTACATAGCCCCTCTAACCAGAGAAGTCTTAGCATTGTAATGGAGATGAGCAGAAAATATACAGAGACTAGTGAGTGAGTTGTTACAACTGTAAGATGGAATAAGATAGTATAAGATGATTATATTTACTGCTGTTTACTAATTCAGTAAAGAATTATTTCATATTCAGAAGAAATGACTAATTTATGTGGGAATTCAAAGTGGTCAAGAGAACTTTCAGATGTCTGGAAAAATATTCCTACAACAAAGATAACATCTTTATAAAAATTAGAGAAAGAACCCCAGAATGGTCAGTCTGGCTGCAATTTAGAGCATAAGAGAAAATACAGCAAACTTTCAAGTAAATAAAGATGTTGGTACCTAGAAGATGATGAAGAACAACGGTTAAGAATTTGAGGAAAACAAACAAAAATGTTCTAAATTTTGTGGTTTGGTAAGACGCTTAATGTAATAGAATCAGAATTGTTTGTCAGAGGGAACCCTTAGAAGTAATGTAGTCCAACTCTCCTACAATGAATCGGGACACCTACAGATACATCATGCTGTTCAGAGCCTCATACAACCTGACCTTGAATGTCTCCAGAGACAGGACATCAATCAACACTCTTGGCAACTTGTTCCATCATCCTTGCCCTAAAAGGCTTTTTCTTTATATCCACTCTAAATCTGCCCTCTTCAAGTTTGAAATCATTCCCCCTTGTCTTAACAGACCCTGCTAAAGATTTTATCCCCTGCCTGCCCCATCTTAGACACTGAAAAATCTGCTATCAGGTCTCTCCAGGGATTTTTCCTCTGGAGTCCGAACAGCCCTAACTCTCTCAGCCTGTCCTTATAACAGAGCTGTTCCATCTCTTGGATCTTTGTTGTGGCCCTCATCTGAACACGGACCAACTGGTCCACATCTCTCCTGTAGTGAGGACTCCACATCTGGATACAGTGCTCCAGGTGAGGTCTCACCAGCCCAGAGTAAAGGAGCAGGATCACCTCCATTGACCTGCTGGCCATGCTTCTTTTGATGGAGACCGGCATGCAGTTGGCTTTCTGGGCTGTGAGGGCACATTGTTGGCTCATGTTCACCTTGATATTCACTGGTATTCCTAAGTCTTTTTGGAAGTGCAGTTCTCTATCCTTACATCCCCTGGCTTATACTGATAGTGGGAGTTACCATGACTGGGTGCAAGATCTTGCACTTGGATTTATTTTTGTGAGGTTCACCCTGGGCCCATTGCTTGAGCCTGTCTTGGTGTTGGGATGGCATCTTGTCCTTTGAGTTTGTCAACTGCACCATAGATTGGTGCATAGGTCGGTGACATCTGCAAATTTGCTGCACTCAGTCCCAGCAAAAAATGTTATGTAGCCTTAATTGAAATCTTTGCAAGTAATCCAAGGTAACATAACTGAGCTGAATGGCTGATAAGAAAAAAACAGTCAGAATCTCAGTGTGGTATTGCAGCCATTTATAAGGGTGTGCTGACAAGGAAGAAAAACATATGAAAATGACTTTAGATCATCTTCTTCTAAGTCTGTATTACCTGACATTTGCATTAATTGCTTGTAAGAAGGGAGCCAGTAAAGATGCACAAAGAATTCAAGAAAAGATACAGAACCATTTACAGATGGCATTTAGAAGGAAGGGACTGGAATTATCTTAGGAGATAAAAGAGTTCAGACTGGTCTTCAAAAATTAGGGAAAGCATTTCCTACATTTGGAAATGATTGAAAGCATAAATACAAGCCATTTCTGGCTATAGAAATGAGTCTGGTTTTACGATGATATCAGAATGAGGTAACAGCACCACACTGTTGCAAAAAAACAGGCAAATGGGACACATGAGAATTTTATCTCTTAGAGACACAACTCCTCTGAATAACAAACAAGGAAGTACCATGTTCACTTCTGAACATCACACATTGGAAAGAGATAGTCTGCCAAACAGTAGCAAAACCAAAGATTAAGAAAACGTATGTTAATAGAGAAATAATGTAAAAAAGCTGTTGTTTTAACAGAGAAGATTGAAGCAAAAACATGCAAAGGTCCTCAGATATGTAAAGGCAACAGTAATGACAAAATCTTACACAACATGGCATACAAAGCAATGAAAGGTGTCTTAGCATCAGTATAAATACTTAAGAGAATGGAAAATTAATAACTACAGATTTCCTGTAGAAATTATAGAATTCTAACAGATAGAATGTTAATTAGATAGAAATAGAATAGAATGTTAATAAGATAGAAATAGAATTCCTGCAGCACACTGAACAACAGCAATCAGTAGTAACTTTGATAGGGGTGGGAAAGAATTTACAAACAAACAAACAACCACCTCCACAAACCGTGCTCTGTTAGGTGGTAACTTTCTAAGTACCAGAAAGCAATTAATTGCAGATACTTGCTAACAAAGTGGCATGTGCTGTGATAAAAGGAGTTGATTGTGATCATCTCCTTCAATTTCCCCGTTTATCAGTCTAAAATACACCTTAAATTTGGAAAGATGATTATGTTAGTTTGATTAAATAGACATCTGATGAATTTGGTGTTCCTTCCCTATGGAAACTCTCCTCAGATTTTTTTCCTTTGTTACCCCATTTAGTGTTTCAGTTATCAGTGGGATTCCATGATGTTTGGCCCTTACTGGTGGAGTTATTCGGCCCTGTGAAAGCATTATAAGAAATGAACGACTTAAGCCCTCATTCTGACCTGCACTGCAGCCACAGCATGCTGCTGAGGGCTCACGGAGAAGTCCCTTGCATATACTTGGTTGCCAGATCCACTGCAAGGCCACAATAGGAAGCACCAAAGTGCCTGGCTTTCCTCTATTCCTCCTCACCCCCTTTTTTTTTTCTTTTTTCTTTTTAAATCCTGACTCAGAGTCAGCGTCACCTCAAAGGCAGCTCAAACACTTCACTGAATAAAACACCTGTATGTGCTGGAAGAGGTAACTGAACTAGGATAATTATTTCCACCACAGCGTAGCATCTTATATCTGACTGAGATATATCTATATATCTGACTGTGTACTTATATATATATATACTTTGCGTTTTGTTATTGCACTTATCAAAATGCAAAATAAAACAAAACCAACACAAATCAGTAAAACAAAAAAACCCACTCCCCTCTCCCCTAAAATAAACAACCAAAAATCCATTTGCATAAATTCTGTTCAAAGTGGTGATAATCTTTATATATCTAAGAAAATAAAAATTAGAGGAAATCCTCTGATAAAGTAACAAAAATCACATGTTCATTTCTGCATTTGTACCCAGGTTTGCTTGCATTAGGAACTGCAAAGAACTGCACTCTGGTTAACAGGCAGTCTGTCAGAGCCTCTCTGTAAATACTGACAATAAAAGGAAGTGCTTCTTCATTCCCAAATGATCAATTTCATATTAAGCTAGTTAAGTCAATCTTAACTTCAGGGACCACCCAAAATCAGCCTTTATTTTGGGATAGAAGAGTTCCTTAGAAAAAGGAAAAACACTACATATAGCTACCCCAGGAAGGTCACAAAGTTGTATACACTGCAGTTCACCCCCTTTAAAACAGAGCAGTATTCTTCACCAGCAACTTCAACACCAAAAAATAGTTTTAGGCATTGCACAAAAGAAAACCTTGGCAGGCACGTGCCATTCATTGTGTTCAGTTATTTTATTTTTTACTAACCAAACTCAAAAGAAAAGCACAGATAAGTTTCAGTCATTAATACATAGTTTTCTAGAAAATATCCCCCTTTACGTTCTCTCCAACAAGCCATGTATCCAAATATTTGAAGTCCAACTACAAGTAACATGAGTTTTCTTCTCCATTCCCCCAAAGGGACTTTTTCTACTTTAATATAAAGTATTGTAAAACTCTTATTTAAAAAGCAAGATTCAGGAAAGAAAAAAAAAAAAAAACTTAAATACCTTTTAAGATTGCTGTCTGGCATTGAACAATTTTAAGCAGTTTCTTTTGGTGTAGTCATTCTTGCATTTTTCACTCAGGATTAGGTCTCTACGAATTTTAGATTTAAGGCAGACAACACACAGTTCAGAAATACATTAGCACATTTGTAATGATATGGCATTTTCAGTAGACATTACCAGTGTATTTGTAAATTGTTGTGCATTTCAGAATGCTTCTTCACTGTTTAACAACAGCCTTTTCCAGAAGTCCTCCTGTAGTTCTGTGCTTCCACTCCTGCTCTCAGAGTCTATCCTCCAGCTTTATGTGCTCAGACATTCCTGAAAAGTTTGCTTTCTTTACACAAGAGTAACATTTCTTTATACTTCATGCAGTCTTTTCTCAAACATTTCAATACAGCTGGCCATACTTCAGCAAACACAACAATTAAAGACTTGATTTCTAAAACTAATTCAAATAATTTAACATCTTTTTAATAGTTTTGGCTGTATGTATAGTGGTAACTATCTCAACAATGGAAGCTTTTAATCAATAACACAACTTGACAAAGTTTGGGTTTCTTTTCTCGAAAATCCGTTCCTCCTCAGGCTTATTACATGACTGTTGCAAGGTTGTGATGATATTTAAAAATGGATTTTGAAGGCTAGGCTATTTATACTGATAGGTAACAAACCAATATTATATTACATTACACAATAGTTGTTTGTAGATTTTTTAAGATACACTGTGCACTTACAGGAGAACAATTCACTTGAAATAAGTGCAAAGCAGTAGTTAGTATCTTCATTCTATGTTGTAGCAGCAGTCATGTATGCATAAAACAGCACTTTTCCTACAGTAAATCACAGCATTTTGGGTAGCATATTGACTACACTAAAGTGTGACAAACGCAATGCCAACTGAAGAAAGTTTCAAAAACAAAAATATGATTCTGTTAATAAAAATACTATATAAAAATATGGCATTCTACAAATCTACAATAGATTTGCTCTTGAAATGCAGTTTTTGTGGGGGTTTATTTCTGTGTTTTTTGTTTTTTTTTTAATTTAATTTTATTTTTTAACAAGGATACTACATGTGGCATTAGCAAATTCAACAAATCATTGTGTTTACAACCTTTACATTTTTTTTTGAGAAAACCATGATTCTGTCTGCTCCAAGACCTAAACATTGACACTGCAGATGATCACACACAGCCCCTGAGTCCTAAGCACTACTTGGTCCTACTCATCCAGTGAAGAATACTTATCCTGGATGATCAAGCCCTTTGCACAGACCTACTTGGTACAATGGACTACATATGCTCCTGACCAACAGCACAAAGTTATACTGCAGTGTAAAGGTACGGCTTTCTCTAAAAATTATAAAGTATTGAAGCAAAAAGTCCACAAAACTTAAAAAAAATTATCCTTGAATTCCACATTACATTTAAGCAATCAGACTATTTAATCAATCACATGGTAGTAGAACAAGCAAAAGACTTTTTATTCAGTTGAAAAAATAGCAGACTGGAAGATCTGTTCATTGCATTACACAAACTTCCCTGAGATTCTTACATAAATTATTGTTAGTCTATTATATATTGGAAACCAGTCAGCTATCAACTGCCACACTGCAAATTTTACACAGTTCCTGCATACGTTACCCCAGCTAAAATGTTGCTTCGATGCTTTAAAGCTTTATCTTCTTTTGCTACAAAAAACATGTACACACAACTGAGAGTACAAATGCAAAGGTGCTCCTTGCCTGAAACTTCTAAATCGTCTTGAAAGCAGCATACAGAAACTGAGAAAACACACATAGGAGTACTCAAAAGTTCTTTGCAGCTTATAAGCTGCTGGCAAAATCAATTCAAAGGTTCTGTGAAAGAGTTTCATAGGAAGAAAGCCCAACAACATTTTTATTAAATGCAAGGGGCAGAAAGAGGGCTGATGCTGCCGCCACTACTTAGCAGTCTCCCGTATTATAAAATCATAACCTTGAATGAGCAATTGTGGGAAAGAAAGATCAGTGGTACAAAACATTGCTATACTGGCACTATGTTGCACTGAGCAAGAAATTCTTACTTTTTAATTGTAGTTACTTAAACTTCTGAGTAGATGGATGTAATTAATCATGAATCTTAATGAGGCCTCACAGCAAAGCAGTCCCTGTATTCCACAAATTCACTGCCACAAATTTCAAAAACGAACACTTCATTTTAAATACATTATGGATTTTAAGGGTTTGTGAGCTTGTGTAGCCTTAATTGAACCTCAGCAAAAGTTCAAGAACAACAAGCCTAGTATTTTACAAACAACATATAAGAATATGTAAAAATAACAGATCATTTGAATTTAAATAAACAAAACCTGAAACGTTCACTGCTTTAAGATACAAGATTATTCCCAAGTTTCATGCTTGGAGGCAAAACCAATTAGTTGCCTTGTCTACAAATTTGTTAGATTTACTTCAGATGTGGAATTACACACAGTAATCTGTTCAGGTAACTTTAACCTCCTTCCAGTTCTCATTAACTGGGATCATGTTCTTGCCTCCAGCTAAATGTGAAGCAATTGTACTTATACTTTCCTTCTTCCAAATGGTCACAGGCTAGGTCTTAAAACAGGAAGAAATGGAGATTTTTAAAAAGAATTGGCCCAAAGTTGACTCAATGACTTCGAGTGGTGACTGACCATATCATACACTGAGCAATAAACCTTCTTTTTAGGGTACTGGAAGGAACATACAAGATCATGATCATAACAAAGTGAGGAATTGAAGGGCATTTTCTACATTTTTAATTCTGTTTTTAGGAAGTTTCCAATTTACAGGTACACTGAGGACAGCATAAAAAATACAAAGATGGAAGGAGTAAAAGAGCAACATTCAAAAGCAGTATGTTTGGCTTTTTCATATTCAGAAACAATCTGAAGATGGTCTCCTATGAAATGTCTTCAATTCTACTTGTTATCACTGTATCCTCAAATATGTAAAGGGAATCTAATACTTCAGGGAAAAAAATACAAAAAAATTGTCACTATTTTCTTTTCCAACTTAAATTACAATTCTCACACAAGTGAGTTATCTGGCTGTCCAAATTAAAAACAATTCACTTCCTTTTCCTTCCCCTAGAAATACTTACAGTATATCACATGGACTATGTTTCTTTGCATATGCTGCTGACTGATCATTGATTCAGACAGGCACATTAAAAGTTGCTGGATTACATAACCAATTCCATTTTGTTATACAGAGAAGCCACTTCTGCAACAACAATAAAAAGTTACAAAAGCACATTAACAAAACAAAGCCCTTGTGCAACACACAGAACAGGGTGTGCAGTCACTCACTACATATTCACAGTGAAAAGACTACATGTCTTTTCTATGTATCTCCATTTCAACAAGGAAATAGTCTTATCATTTCTTAATCTCACATATTTCTCACCTCTTTTTTGCTTGCCAAATAAGGCAAATAATGGTTTTGTAGACTGACCATATATTATATTATTCAATTTAGAAAAATAATTTCTTTCCCTATTGAGAATTTCAACATGTTCTCACAGTAACAAATATATCCTGATCAAGAAAACCAGCAGGGTTCCTCAGTTTGCAGATTCATATAAGATATTTGCCATGCAGATTTTACTTCCAGCAAAGGTAAATGCACAAGTGCACATATGTCAATTATACACAGCAAACCAAGTACATTTTGTTTGCATCCTAATACATGCTCTTAAGGAGGGACAGTTTCCTCATCCACCCATGTTGTCCCTTATTTGATCCACTCGCTGAGCAAGATCCCTAAAGGTGGGCCGCTGAGTAACGTTGTTGTTCCAACATTCTTTCATGATAGCATAAATCTGGGGGGGAAAAAAAGAAAATAAATACTGTGTTAATAGATACGACAGACAGTTAGTTAAGTGCAAAGACTCTCCAACTTAACTGCATTTTTCCATGCAACAGTGACACGATAGTATAGCAAGATTTTAGTAATAGTCATCAATTTCCTTGCTTAAGGACAGCAAAGGGCCTTTATGAAGATTTTCTCTCTTTTAGTTATTATGGAAATTGAATTAATTTTCAAAGTTTGTAAGATGACACAAACGCAAACTGAACTTAATAATATTAAAAACAGATCAAAAATATTGTTTGAAAATATGAAAGGCATTTAGCCATGCTATTTTCCCAAACATGCACCTGATATCCCATCACAGTAGTCCTGTGACACTCTCTTCATTTGTGTTCTTTTCACTAATTTAATCCAGATCGTAAACAGATTCTCGTTCTTCTAAAAATTTCTGCTTAACAACTATCTGAAAAGCTCGAAACAAATGTAGCTCTCAATTCTCCACTTTTCAGCAAATCTGAAATTCTCACATTGATCTGAGTCCAAAGCAGCCTGTAAGTTACAAACACCTAGGAAGTTTCAAGATTAGGATCAAAATGGGATGATCATGGTTTTTAACAGAAGAGAGGCATTGCCATCTTGCTTTGTTAGCTGAAGAAATGTCAGACAACAGAACTTAGTTTCAATAAAATAGTAGTACCATCATACTTATAGGAAATCCAGATTATCTATGAAAACCTCAAACCTTCGTGATTCAACAACTGTTGTACTCATATGCACATGTCCAATGGTTTCCCTGCACCATCTGTGTCATTCCTTTTCTTCTCTGCTAGATCTCTCGACCTTGGTATCTGCTATCTGCAGTTTTGTAGGAATTATTTCAGCAATTATTGCCAAGTGAGTCCAATCATAGATACAAGAATCTATCTAGACTAGAAGTTATAGGAAAAAAAAAAATAGTGTATCTATTTTAGTTACATTCCTCAAGCTGAAGTGCATCCTCCTCAAAAGAACAGTGAAGTAAAAGGCTTAGAAATAGTAAGGAAATATTTTTAAAACACCTGGAGTATTAGCAAATTAAAAAAACTTGGATTAACATACTTTCTAGATTGTTTTAGAGGCATATACTAGATCTACAAAAAGTATGAATACAAATCCAAAGCCCATGTCCAGATAAAATCCAATTCATATTCTTCACTGTATGCACAATCTGCATATAGCACCTGTCCAAGAATGTTTGATGATAATAATACACATGATAAACATATGTAAGTATTTCTATGCTTGAGGAAGGAAGAGGAATAGAGGGAAATAAAGATAAAGCATTTTTTAAGTCTCAGAATTAAATATGATTAATTGAACCCTAGGTAGATAGTAAAGTTTCTCTCCTAAACATTAAACACATCAGAAAACTTACAGTACAGTTTTGAGCAAGAAGGTTTGTATAAGTCTTTTATGGAACAAATTCCATACACTAAACTTCACTGTCTTATTAAATTTACATTTTTTTAAATAGCAGCCTGAGTGCTCCAGTGTAATAGTCATAATAATCCTATTTCACATATTCAGAAAGACTACATTATAAGCTCCTGAGTGAGTATAATCTAAAGTATCATAAAAACAAATGTGATTATTACCCATCATGTAACTGATAAAACAACAGCACAACAATTCAGGCTGTATAAATTCTTCCATAATCCACACAGAAGGAAACATTAAGTTTACTATATACTCACCCTCACTGTGCACCTTTAAGACTACAGTAATACATTACTATAATAATACTTCACCTCATCAGGGCATCCATCTGGCCTTGGAAGTCGTCCATTGTTCTTCAAAAGCTCTATCAAATGAAATACAATCATCTGCCCTTGTTTATCATTGCCAATCATGCGCATGAATTCCTGAAACAGAAGGCCAAGTATCATAAATAAGATTTGAAAGGGAAAAAAATGTGCTGCAAAACCAGTACCCTGGGAAACTCTTTATAAGACAAACCTCAGAAATTCTATGAATAATACATTAAATAGCAAAGATAAAATTACAAATGACAATTTCTGATAATATATCAACAATCACCATTCATTGGGGAGGAACTAGGATTATAGATATATGATTTAAAGTTATAAGTTAAAAATCTTACTGGTAATTCTAAAGAGATCCCTGAAATGTTAAAATTTGGATGCTTTGAAAAGCTCCTGTCAAGCAAAAAGCAAATAATAACATTACAAAATGTTATGTATATATAAATGTTGTTACATATAATAACATTAAGAGATGCATTAAAAAAATGAACTGGATTAATCAGTAATTAGAGGCTAAAAATTAATTAAACTCAGCTAAAAATAAATAAATAAATCTTGCTAGCCAAAAATCAACATAACCTTGAAAGCAGACGAAAAAAAATTCTCTCAGATTGCCAGAGATATAAAGTAAATGAGAAAATACTATTAAGGGAAAATAATTTCTAAGCATAACGTAAAGGGATTGTTTCTCTTCCAGTGTTACATAAGTGCCTTTAATGGTGATAACACGAAGATGTGAAATAACTGCTGGTAGAATGTGTGTGAATGCCAAAGTCAGTGATACAAGTAACAGTTACAATGATGATGACATGCTGCTTTGTCAAATTGATAAAAACAAATTTTTCTTGATACATACCAAGAGAGCTGCCTGGCTCTGATCATGAAATCATGAACACATAAAATATTTATTTACTCAAAGTATATTCCATGACTTACTACATTACTTCTCATTTCACAGTCCTTTTGAAAAACTCCATATATCTGCATTGTTTGGTATCAGACAAAGAGAGCTGTCCCTGCTCTGAGAATTTTTTCTCCATTGCATAAGTCAGTACAGATTTGGGTTTGAGTTGCTGGAAAGGAGCTCTGCAAAGAAGGTCTTGGGTGTTCTGGTGGATGACAGGCTGCAAATGAGTCAACAGGGCGCCCCTGCAGCCAAGAAGACCAACGGTATCCTGGCATGCATTGAAGAGTACAGTCAGCAGGTCAAGGAGGGTAAACCTCTTACTCCTAGTCTGCCCTGGTGAGGATACATCCTCACCAGGATGTACAACCAGAAGTACTATTCCAGTTCTGGGCTCCTCAGTTCAAGAGGGATGGGGAACTTTTAGACAGAGTCCAGTGGAGAGCCACAAAGATTATTAGGGGCTGGGAGCATTTCTTTTACAAGGAAAGGCTGAGAAACCTGGGACTGTTAGGCTGAAAAGTAGAAGACTGAGGGGGAATCTTGTCAATGCTTGTAAATATTTCATAGCAGGGAGTTAAGTGGATGGGGCCAAGCTCTTTTCAGTGGTGCCCAGTGACAGGACAAGGAACACAAACTGTAACCCAGGAAGTTCTACCTGAACATGAGAAACAACTACTGAGAGAGTGACAGAACAGGCTGCCTGGAGAGGTTGTGGAGTCTCCTTCTCCAGAAGAAGTGAAAACTGACCAGGATTCTTTCCTGTGTAATCTACTCTGGTGAATCTGCTTTAGTAAGGGGTAGCAACTAGGTGATCACTAGATCATTTATATGGTTCTGTGGTTCTGTGATTCACGAAATCACAGAATGGCCAGGGTTGGAAGGGACCTCAAAGATCATGAATCTCCAACCCCCCTGCCACATGCAGGGCCACCAAACTCCACATTCAATACTAGACCAGGCTGCCCAGGTCACAGAATCACCCGGGTTGGAAGGGACCTCAAGGATCATGTAGTTCCAACCCCCCTGCCTAGCAGGGCCACCAAACGTACACATTCAGGTCAGGTTGCCCAGGACCCCATCCAACCTGGCCTTGAACACGTCCAAGGACGGGGCATCCACAACCTCCCTGGGCAGCCTGTTCCAGGGCCTAACCACTCTCCTTGTAAAGAACTTCCCCCTAACATCCAACCTAAATCTTCCCTCCTTCAACTTGGATCCATTTCCCCTAGTCCTGCTGTTGTCAGCCCTTCTGAAGAGTTTACTCCCCTCCTGGGTGTAGGTTCCCTTCAGGTATTGATAGGCTGCAATGAGGTCGCCCCGCAGCCTTCTCTTCTCCAGGCTGAACAAGCCCAACTCCCTCAGCCTGTCCTCATAGGGGAGGTGCTCCAGCCCCCTGATCATCTTAGTCGCCCTCCTCTGGACCCTTTCCAAAATCTCTATGTCTTTCTTGTACTGAGGGCTCCACACCTGGACACAGTACTCCAGATGGGGCCTCACAAGAGCCGAGTAGAGAGGGACAATCACCTCCCTCTCCCTGCTGACCACCCCTCTCCTGATGGAGCCCAGGATCCCATTTGCCTTTCGAGCTGCCAGAGCGCACTGCTGGCTCATGTTCAGTGTCTCGTCCATCAGGACCCCCAGGTCCTTCTCTGCCGAGCTGCTCTCAAGGCCCACTCCTCCCAGCCTGTACGGGTGCCTGGGGTTCTTCCGGCCCAAATGCAAAACCTTGCACTTTGCCCTGTTGAACCTCATTAGGTTCACCCGAGCCCAGCCCTCCAGCCTGTCGATGTCCCTCTGAATGGCATCCCTTCCTTCCACCGTATCAACTGCACCACTCAGCTTGGTGTCGTCAGCAAACTTGCTGAGGGTGCACTCAATTCCTTCATCGATGTCATTAATAAAGATGTTAAAGAGCACCGGTCCCAAGACAGACCCTTGGGGGACACCACTTGTTACCGGCCTCCACCTGGACATAGAGCCATTGACCACCACCCTCTGTCTGCGGCCTTTCAACCAATTGCTTATCCATCGGGTCGTCCACCCATCAAATCCACTTCCCTCCAATTTGGAGATGAGGATGTGGTGGGGGACCATGTCAAAGGCCTTGCTCAGGTCCAGGTAAATGACATCGGTCGCCTTCCCTTCGTCCACCAATGCTGTCACTCCATAGAAGGCCACAAGATTAGTTAGGCATGACCTTCCTTTGGTGAAGCCATGCTGGCTGTCTCGGATCACATGCTCATTCTTTATGTGATCGAGCATGTTGACCAGGAGGATCTGTTCCATGATCTTCCCAGGCACGGAGGTGAGACTCACCGGCCTGTAGTTCCCCGGGTCCTCCCTGCTCCCCTTCTTGTATATGGGAGTGACGTGACCCTTCCTCCAGTCATCTGGGACCTCACCTGACAGCCACGACTTCTCAAATATGATGGAGAGCGGCTCGGCAACCACCTCAGCCAGCTCCTTCAGGACCCTGGGATGCACGCCATCTGGCCCCATAGACTTGTATTCATTCAGTCTAAGGAGGTACTCTCGGACTTGCTCTGCCCTTACAGTGGGGAGGGATTTACCTCCTTGGTCCCCACATAGAGGTTTGGGGATGCAGGGTTCAGGGACGGGAAAAAGACTAGAATCCTGGCCACCAGTGAAGACCGAGGTGAAGAACTCATTCAGCACCTCAGCTTTCTCTTCATCTGTTGAAGCCAGTTCTCCTTTTAAATTTACCAAAGTAGGTACGCCCGTTTTGGCCTGTCTCTTCTGGCCAATGTACCTGTAGAAGGTTTTCTTATTGTTTTTCACGTCTCTTGCCAAGTTCAGTTCTGCCTGCGCCTTGGCTTCCCTGATCCCACGTCTGCAAGTCCGGACGGCATCCCTGTACTCTTCCCAGGTGACACAGCCTTGTTTCCAGAGCTTATTTTGGTCCCCATCCAATCTGGCCTTGAACACCTCCAGGGACGGAGCATCCACAACTTCTCTGCGCAGCCTGTTCCAGCACCTCACTACTCTCTCTGTAAAGAACTTCTCCAACATCCAACCTAAATTTGCCCTCCCTCAACTTAAAACCATTTCCCCTTGTCCTGTTGTTATCTACCCTTTCAAAGAGTTGATTCCCCTCTTGTTTGTAGGCTCTCCTTAGGTGTTGAAAGGCTGCAATGAGGTCACCCTGCAGCCTTCTTTTCTCCAAGTCCAGCTCCCTCAGCCTGTCTTCATAGGGGAGCTGCTCCAGCCCCCTGATCATCTTTGTGTCTCTCCTCTGGATGCTCTGCAACAGCTCCGCGTGTTCCTTGTACTGAGGGCTCCAGACCTGGACACAGTACTCCAGATGGGGCCTCACAAGAGCAGAGTAGAGGGGGACAATCACCTCCCTGTCCCTGCTGGCCACCCCTCTTATGATGGAACCCAGGATACCATTTTCTTTCCAAGCCGCAAGGACATGTTAAGTTTTTCATCTATCAAGACCCCGAGGTCCCTCTCCAAAGGGCTGCTGTCAAGGACTGCTCCTTCCAGTCTGAAGGGATGCCTGGGATTCCTCCAGCCCAAGTGCAAAACCCTGCACTTTTGCCATGTTGAACCTCATCAGGTCCAGCTGGGCCCACCTTTCTAGCCTGTTGAGGTCCCTCAGAATGGCTCTGAATGGATTCTTTAATATCTTTTGTGATTGCATACAATTCCTAAGTTCTACTGATGTTGATGTAGAGGTCTGTCAAATACATTTTCCCTACGATCACTGTTTACCTCTCAGAACTACATTTGCCAGGACTGAGACACTGGTGAACAGTGAAGACAGCTCTAGTAAACATTCGAGTTACCTCTCTTCTGTAATGCCTGCAGGGCAATTCTAGTAAAGGTAACATTATGAACTTCATTCCCAACTGCAGAGCTGTTCTGCAGTAAACAAGTAGTACTTATTTCATTTAGTGAGTGCCTTTAAAGACACTTGTCAACAGTCTGCAAGAAAAGAAAAACTCTCTTTCCTTTCTGAGCTACAGATAATTACCTCGGGTTTTGCTGAGATAACAAAGTAACTTTAAGAGTTACCTCACTTAAATCTACTTCAGGTTGAAGTATTTGCTTGGCTGGGCCTTAGATTTGGAGTGGTATTAAAAATACTTGTAATATTACAATGGAACAGTTTCATCTGGGATCTCTCTATAAAGAATGAGAAAGATAAGTCTCTAATTAGATATTTTCAAACCTTTTTCAAACAGCTGGAAGTTACAAAGCAGATTAAGTCTGCACAGACTGTTTTCCAGATAGTCTTTGCTTTTTACACCTAGATGCAAATGCTTCTCAGCATGCTGCTGTTTCCATTTGGACGTTGTCTCAAACACAAAGTTACACTCCAAAAAAGGCTCAGTAAATATCAACCTATCTAAACACAGGAAAAAATCCATACACTTTCTTTTTTTTTTTTTTAATAAACAAATAAAAATCTCTGGGAAAAAATAATTAAGTACTCACAGCTGGTGGACTTTTGCTCTTTTCAATGTAAGTGAAGAGTTCATACAAGACCACACCAAAACTCCATACATCTGAAGCCACAGAAAATTTGCTCTCTGTCAGAGACTCTGGAGCATACCTGCAACACACGGTAAAAATAATATTGTTCTGCATTACCTTCACTAGTAAAAGTGAACAAGTATTCTGATAATAGTAGTTAACTGGTACGTAAGAACTGGTATTTTTCCTGCATCTAATGAGGGTAAATAAGATTTTGACATGGTAAGGACTGGGAATAAAAAGAGTTATAACCAATAAAAATCTTTCCACCACTATCAGTTAAGCTTTGAATTGTGTCCCATGCATTTGTGGACTTAATTTTTTCAGATCAGTAACATCTACTGTTAATGCTATTTTATATTATTTTATTTACCCCTTAATTATTATATTTTAAGGTCACCTATGGCAGCTATAGACGCTAAAATCACAAATATGAAGTGGCATTTTGAATACACAAAAGTACATACTCCAAATGCAGCTGTATTAGATTCATCCGACAAGTTTTTGGTAGCAAGAGACTGCAGGGGGGCCCCTGTGAGCAGAGCCCAGGAGCTGCCCCATGGCAGATCAGAGCCAACTCCAGCTGCTCCATCAAGAACCTGCCACTGCTAGAGCTGAGCTATGAGCAACACTGAATGTGCCTCTGTGAGAGAAACTGGAAAAACTGCTGTACAACAGCAGCTGGGTGAGGGGAATGAAAAAAGTGTGAGAGAAGCAGCCCTGCAGAACCCAAAGTGCAGAAAGATGGCAGGTGCTCCAGGCGCAGAGCAGAAGTTCCAGGCAGCTCAGGATTAGCTCATGGTACAGTAGGCTGTCCCCCTGTAGCCCATGAACACCATGCAGAGTAGATATCCACATGCAGCAACAGAAGAGCCAAAGGTGTAGCAGTGGATGCGACTAAAGAAAGCTGAAGGCCATTGCTGCAGCCCAAGGAGCCTGTGGTAGGGCCGGAGGGGTGGGGGAGCAGCCACTTGTGGGGACCTGAGCTAGAGCAGCCCATTCCTCCAGGATGTGTCCCAGTGGTTCATTTACCTTAACATTCAACCTAATACTTTATCCTTGCTAACTCATCTGTATGATTTAATTCCACTTGGCCAACAGATGGTTCACCCAACAGATCTCATCTAGAAGATACATATTTTTGTTTAAGGGTCCAAAACTTACAGGAACCCACTCCTTAGTAAGCGTTCTAGATTTTTTTAATCTTGGAATACATTCCCTGTGACATTATTTAACTTGTTAACTACGATTTTTTCAGGGTGTTTTTTTTTTTTTTTTTTTTTTTGTTGTTGTTTGTTTGTTTGGTTGGTTGGTTTTTTTTGGAGGGGAGGGGAAATATGCATAAAGTTAGGAATTCTCAATGTTGTTCTGTAAAAGCAAGGATCATGCATGTGACTTTCACAATGCTTTAAAAACAGACTTGGAAATTTTACACCACAATTCCACAATATGTAAAACAGTTGTCTGAAACCACAAAGCTGAAAACATATCATGATTTCATACATTGAGAAAAGACTTACCAAAATATAGGGCTTTCACCAGGTTCTTTCACTTTGTAGTACTCCTTGTCTTGTGGCAAGACTTTAGTCAATCCGAAATCTCCAATTTTAACTCTGTTCTCATTCTCCACTAAGATATTTCTTGTTGCTAAGTCCCGGTGAACATATCTTTTTGTGCCCAGATACTCCATGCCCTAAGCGTGTTCACAAACACAACAGAAAAGAAAATTATTTTTAAGTGGCTGCGCTATCTTTAAAGGGATGAAACAAGCTCAAAGTTAAAATCAAAGAGAATGTATCAAAATCAGAGTACTTGAATATTTGCTTTCTCTATTAAGTTAATGTTTCCAAATGCAAGAGACTCTCCTTAACTGAAGGCAACTATATAGAGAATCTTTCTCAGCCAAGTGTTTTACAATTATGTAGCTAGATAGCTGTTACAGCTCTTTTCCATACCCAAGTGCAGTTTGCCAGTTCTAAGCAAAAATAAACAAAGTCTGGGCTAAGATACATGATACAGGGCAGATAAGAAACCTGTCCTTTCATTAGCTGTTCGAATTAACCTTCTTCTATTTTTCACATCTGCTTTCCTAATTTCATTATTAAACTTTATCTTACAAGTCCTTGAATGTGACAGCTATTCTCTGGCTGTATTCATATTTGTAAATCTTCTTTCTCCTTCCTTCTCCTTCTTATTGACCATTATCTTCTATCACAGCTCTCTTTTTGCTGTATCTTGTGTAATGGCTACCCATGGAAACGATAATCTGAAGTTATCATATTTAGCTGCTGTTGCTGATCCCTTCTTACCAATACATTCTGTTTTTGCAATTAATTGAACACAGAAGCCAGTGCGTGAAGAGACAATCAAGCTAAGGTATTACAGCAAATATTCAAAAAAAATTCTTGCCTACACAGCAATAGATGGTGAACAGAAACTGACAATGTGGTACTAAAAGATTCTTGATTTTCATACATGGAAGAAAACACAAAGCAGGCTCTCAGTTTCACAGTTTCATAAAGAAACATGGCAACACAACAGAAAAAGGAATAAATGATGTTCTGGAATAAATGATGTTCTAGAATAAATTCAGACATTTGGGGCATCAGCATTATATTTTTAATGTAAAAAGATTAGTCTTTTCCCCTTTTAAGTGAGAAACCTCTGAAAAAGTGTAACTTGGAAGTCTACTTCTCAGTCTCATGCTACCTCCTTGTACCATTAGGTGGCAACACTGTATATTCAGAACATCCACTCAAATCTGTTTAAAACTGACATCTTGACCACTACCTGTTATCTTTTGCTTCCTGAAAAATAGTAGTATTAAATACCATACTGAAAGTAGTCCTTAAGTTTCTCTGATACTAGTGACTTTCCTGTTATAATAGCCATTTTCCAGCCTGAGACATATTTACTTGAAATCATGCAAATTTTGAGTGGAAATCATAATCCTCTGACATTACACTAACAGTGAGGTCAAGTTCAATGACACTGTTCAAATTTTTTCACCTTTGCTATTCAAATGGTAGTTATGGGGCCTTTCAGCAAGGATAAATGAAATATTTTAAGCACTATGAGGTGGAAAAACAAAATTATTCCCACCCTCTTATCAGCAAGAATGAAGAAAATGTAGTGTCAAAAGAGGAAAAACAGAACGACCTCAAAATCAGAAAAGCATTGGGAAATTTTAAATTTTAAATTCGACTACAGAATTCTATTGCTTGCCACCAGAAAAAGCAGAACTAGTGACACGAGCTACATCACATTATAGCTGCAATGATTTGCTTCTACAGAAACACAATTAGCAAATGCCATCTCTGAAAACTGCTTTTCACAGTATGAGAAACACAGGTGTCATGGTTTTCTGGTTTTTTTTTTGTTTTTTTTTTTGGCTTTAAGTATTCCGCATCAAAACATCATGTAGTGCACTGGGCATTAAAGTGTTACTGCCCCAGTTCCAGGTACCTATCCCTGTACATTTCAGAAGGCACGGGATCTGGCCCTTCCAGGTGGGGCGCTCTCTTACTGCCTGGCAGTGGGTGCTGGATGGTGCTCTCCTAGCTGCTCCAAGCTTTTCAGGTTTGACTCAGTCTCAGGAACTCTCTCTCTCTCCTATCTTATTTGATTTATTACTCTCACTTTCAATTAGGTTGTATTAGATTGTGTTATCTTGCATTCCAATATCATAGTTAGTAAAATCAGTTTTTCTCCATAGATTGTTGCCACTGTTTTTTTTTTCCCGTTCTTCCTTCCCATTTTGTGGAGCCGGGGTGGAGGGGGGGGGGGGGGGGGGAAGGGAATGGGGGGAAGAGGAGGGGGAGGGAGGGAGGAAAGAGGGGGGGGGGGGGGGGGGGGGAAGGAGGGAAGGGGCTTACTTGCCCCCCGGTCATGGGCATAAATAGATCTAGTTAACTCTGTGACAACAAGTCAGGACATTTATCCCAGTTCTCAATAAGGAACCAAATACACTGCAAGCAAGCACACTTATCTTAACCTTTTAGTATGGTAAAGTCTTCACTTCTCTCACACGTACTTGATATAAGAAGGCTGAAGCTGCAAAGAATTTCAGCTAAAAAACTAACAAGCAAAACAAACAAACGAACAAAAAAAAGTAACAGAAATGCACACGAGGCAGAAGAGACTTCAGATGCTGAAAGAACAAAACACGCTGGAACAAAACAGGAGAGAAATAGAAAAGGAAAGGAGGTGATAAGCTAAAAGTATTTCGATCTCATTTTAGTAATATTATGTACTCATTTTTAATAGGTAGTAATATATCATAACTGAGTGCTTTTGCCAGATTTAAGCAGTCTGCTTTGAAAACATTTATCTTAAAACAGGATTCCAAACTAAGCACAGACTCACTAACCCTTTGAGATTTTATCCAGAGTGAAACAAAGCATTAGCTCCCATGAGCAAAAACATCAAGCTGTTCTGAAGCAAAATAATACAACAGAAGTACTTAGTGCAATCAAAATAACCTCTGCTTTACAGGTAGCACAGTAGCATTAAGGCAAAGCAAAATACACACACTAATACTTAGGCTTTGCTTCCCTTAGAAGTCAACAAGAGATAATTATCTGTATGTTCTACACATGGCTTTCTAGTACTTATATGTAGCTTGTAAGCAGGAGGAAAATAATCTTTTCAAGTAAATAGTGGCAGGACACAGGAGAACTAAAAGAGGATTTAAACTAAGTGCCAGGGAAATTTTCACTGAGAGGGTAGTGAAGTGTTGGCAGTATGTCCAGAAAAGCCCTGGATGCCCCAACCCTGGAAATGTTCCAAGGCCAGGATGGATGGAGTCCTGGGCAGCCTGATCTAGTTGCTTGATTCAGCGGTTGGCAACCCTGCAGAGGGGTTGGAAGAAGATAATCTTTAAGGTCCCTTCCAACTAAAGTAATTCTACATTCTGTGTTGACTTCCCACATTCTGATAGTGTTTGCCCATGTTCATTACATGAAAGCACAAGTTTTCCCTCTTAATTATCCGCAAAACGCAAATTCTAGCTTCCTTCCTCCTAGCTGGTACTTAGAACTTAGAAATAAGTCCTTTGATCTGTTGTTTTGATTTTACATCGGCAGTCTGCATATCTGCAGTATTTCAATGTTTCTCACGTATTTGTGCATACATGTACACATAAAATGCCCTGAAAGTGGAAGGCACAAGTCTACTAGATAATACAATATGTAATGGCTACACACCCTACAGAATACTCGTTAAGTAATTTACCGTTTCCTTGTTTGAAATTGAAATAATGGAGAGGAAATTTAAAATATTTGTTACCTGTCTTAGAATAAGAAGGCAGTATGTGCACATCCATTTGTCTTTTTTTTTTTTTTTTTAATTAAAGGTAATAAGCCTGCAGTGAAATCTGAAGCATCCATAGTTTCTCATATCTTAAACACAAACAGTAGCATAAATCTAAGGCACGCATACTTTTTTCTTCCGAGGTAATAAGAAATAAGTTAATAGGAAGATCAGATACGTGTTTCCATTTTCAGAATTTATGAAGTATTTTCAATGTCAGCCAGTGAGACTAAATTATTACAGCTTTGGGCACTTTAATAGCCCCTAGCTCTTCACATAGGAATCAGGTACCTTCCTTCCACTAGATCAAAATGCTAATATTACTTACTTAATATTAATAAATTAAAAATTAAAAATAATATTACTTACTTATAAAATGACGATATTACTAATATTGTTAAATATATGAACACTGTTATAGATATTCATCTCTAAAAGTCATTAAGTGACTTTTATATAAAATCACTAAAGTCACTAAGTGACTTTTATATATAAGAAGTATCAGTTATGGTATCCCATGAATAGCTTGCCTCAATGAGTACACTAAATCCTTCACAATTTTAATCCAGCTTTCATTAGAAAAAAAAGATGTTTTAATTCTTCTGAATAAGCCTTTATACCTCATAAACATAAATGACTCTCAAAATATAATTCTCCCTCAATGAGTATACAGATCAATGTCAACATGTTGCATTAAGGATTACAAAGATACTCAGAATTTTTTCAAGTTCCTGAATATAAGTACACCATACTATCATTTTTAACGTTAAGTTTTTCTAGCTGCCTAACACTATTAAAAATATATATAACAAAACAACTAATTTCTGAATGAAATGAGTAGATGCAAATTTGTCAAATTTGTCAAATTGTCAAGCCAACTGAAAACTCTCTTACCTTGCATATCTGAGATGCATATAGCAAAAGCTTTTTGTGGTCCAATCTCTCTTTGTGTTTCTGCAGATAATCCCGTAAACTTCCATATGGTAGATATTCCATAATTAATCTCAGATTCCTACGACCTTTTACAACAACAAATAAAATACTTTATGTCTTTTCAATGCAAAGTTTTGAAACATGTATTTACAAGTGAACAGAAGTAATAGAAAAGTCTCACTAATAAAAATGCATTCTATTGTATGCAGTACAATAGTGTGTGCAATTTTTCATCTGTTATTTGTATCTGATATGGAAATGCCATTTATTTAAACATAACCACAATGTGTATATGCTTAATATTCAACATCTCATAAAAACTACTATTGCCAAAAGTAAAGCACAAGTGCCACCCATGTATACCAGTGTTTACATAATTCCTTCTTTTTGCTGAGGTAAAACTCAGAATGACAACTGACGTCAACTCGTTAGCAATTTAGCAATCTTCAAAACTTAGTCCGATTTTGAACACTTTTTTTTTTTTTTTTTTAAACAATCAGATCTTGCACAAAACTTGTGCTTTCACTCAATTTCAACATCATCAACAATTTATTCAAATACATATGTTTCTGAAACTTTCTCCTTCTTAGTCATTTATTATACAGTTGTACAAAAAGTGGTATTATCCACTCTCAGACATCACATTAAAGGAAAAATAAGAACAGTTAAAAAAAGTTAAAAAAAATGGTTTCATTTTCTTACTTAACTCCAGATTCATCGCTTTAAGATAAAGCAACTGGGTAACCAGTCAAAACAGCCTGTTCTTTAAAAATCATACAAATTATGCCATGAGCGGACTGAATAAAGAAAATTCATCTTACAATGAAAAGCTGTACATAACAGACTTTTCTTCCCTTGGAAAAGGCTTTTGTAAACATCTGCCTGAATTTCTTGCAGTCTACATGCTTAGTTACGCAACTTAAGGTGTATTCAACATAGCACATACCTGCACTGTAGCAAACTCCTTTGTATTTAACAATGTTATCATGCTGCAGAGATTTAAGTATTTCAATTTCTCTTTCAAAGTCCCTAAGGTGCTCCTCTGTACTATGTTGCAGCTTTTTCACAGCCACCACCTCCCCAGTATTATCCTGTAGGGGATCATACCGGCACATCTCAACACTGCCAAAGTTTCCCTAGATATAAACAGAAATGCTTGAATTAAAAAATGAGTCCACGTTATCCTCTCTTTCCCAGTGCTTGTCTATAAATACCTCAGTGCACACTGTAGTATAACATTGAAGTGATATAACAAGCTCTATGTAACATTTACTATGTTATTATTTATGCAATAATTATTTAAGTGAAATATCACAAAACCACCATGAAAGAAGTTAAGAGTAAAGGATCACTCTCCATCAATTCTTAGGCAGTCCTGGCTAACCAAGGATGTCCCAGTGGATTGGAGACTGGCAAATGTGATGCCCATTTTTAAAAGGGGCCAGAAAGATGATCCTGGTAGTTACAGACCTATCAGTCTTACCTCGGTGCTCGGAAGGTTATGGAATGGATAATTTTGGGTGCCACCATAGACCAATTAAAGGTCAGCCAGGGGATCAGGCCCAGTCAGCATGGGTTTACGAATGGTAGATCCTGACTGACAAACCTGATTTATTTCTATGACAAGGTGACCCGCTTAGAGAATGGAGGTAAGGCTGTTGATGTGGTCTATCTGGACTTCAGTAAAGCCTTTTACACTGTCCCCAACAACATTCTCATGGAGAAGCTGGCTGCCCATGGTTTGCATGGGTGTATGCTCTGCTGGGTGAAACACTGGCTGGATGGCCAGGCCCAAAGAGCTGTGGTCAGTGGAGTTAAATCCAGCTGGTGGCTGGTCACGAGTGGTGTCCCCCAGGGCTCAGTACTGGGACTGCTTTTATTTAACATCTATATTAATGATCCTGTTGAGAGTATGGAGTGCACCCTCAGTAAATTTGCAGATGACACCAAGTTGGAAGGGTGTGCTGATCTGCCTGAGGGGAGAAAGGCACTACAGAGGGACCTGAATAGATTGGATCGATGGGCCAAGGTAAACTGAGTTTCAATAGGACCAAGTGTTGGGTCCTGCGTTTTGGTCACAGCAATTCCAGGCAACCCTACAGGCTTGAGGAAGAGTGGCTGGAAAACTGCCTGATGGAAGGGGACTTTGGTGTTCTATTGGACAGTCAGCTGAATATGAGCCAACAGCATGCCCAGGTGGCCAAGAAGGCCAATGGCATCCTGGCTTGTATCAGGAATGGTGTGGTGAGCAGGACTAAGGAAGTAATCCTGCCCCTATACTCAACATTGTTGAAGCCACACCTTGAGTACTGTGTTCAGTTTTCGGTACCCAGAACAGAAAGGACTGTGAGATGCTGGATCAGGTCCAATGAAAGGCAACAAGGCTTGTGAAGGGCATGGAGAATATGCCCTATTGAGGAGGAGACTGAAGGAACTGGGGTTGTTTAGTCTGGGGAAAAAAAGGGGCTGAGGGGAGACCTTATTGCCCTCTTCCAATATCTGAAAGGTGCTTACAGTGGGATCAGGGTTGGTCTCTTCTTAAGGTGACAGGACAAAGGGAAATGGCCTTAAGTTGCACCAGGGTGAGTTTAGGTTGGATAACATGAAACACTTCACTACAGAAAGAGTTGTTAAGCACTGGAATAGGCTCCCTAGGTAGGTGGTTGAGTCACCATCCCTGAATGTGTTTAATTTAGTGGAGGGTTGTTAGATTTAGGGTAGTTTGGTCAGGTTGTGATTGGACTCGATGATCTTTAAGGTTCCAACCTGATTCTATGATTCTATCACAGTGACATTTCTGCAGCAACTGTCTGTAAGAAACATGCTCTATGAAAGGATGTGAACAGCACTGGAAAAAAAGGAGGGCAAGGAGTGATATCCATTCATTTTCTCCCCTTTCTTCACAGACTTCTGCTTAACTCTCATAATGCCCACTGGGATACCTCTTTTCCTGCATTTCTAAAAAACTACACATTAAGGCTCCTTCTGGTTCATGGTTCTCCTTTGTTTTTCAGTATTTTTTCTTCCATTCTCTGCTCTACCTTCTTCTCTACTCTTTTTATCTTCCTTTTTGCAGTCATCACCAGGAAATCCATTCCTTTCCCTACTCTACACTACTGTTTATAGCCAACAATCACCTACAAATAGAAGCACTTCTGCCAGTTTGCTTTCAGGTTTTGTCACTTACAGAGACAAGTGGACATGTAGCTACACATCAGTAACCAATATAAAAAAGTGAGAAACCATGCTGGAATAAGCGTACTTAGTCCAACTGACAGAACTTCATTGAAGTCATCTGTCTGCACATGTTTTCCACAGCCAAGCTGCAATGACTTGCAAAACACTGTAACCAAATACTGATTTCTAAAGCTTAAAAAGTTTGAGGCCCACAGGTATCTCAAAGACATTACTGAGCTTGAGGCCCTTGTATTCAGAGTTCCCAAATAGAAAAAACAACAGCCTCCTGGTTTCTATACAAGATTGCTCTGGAACAATTGTAAATGAATCCCAAGTATAAAAACTGACAAAAAATGAAGCATCAGACGCAGCTCTGCACTGGAAATATTAAGCCACTCCTGGTGACTGGATTCAATGTAGAAAACAGCTACCTTTCTTCTGTCTAAAACCATCAAACAAGTTCCTTTCAAATCTTTTTTTCCACTGTGCTCAGATATTTCTTTATTTATTTCTGTAATGGAAGCATCCAATGTATATACTAATGTATATAGGGTCATTAGAAGATAATTGAAAAAAGTAGCTATTTCTTAGGCAATTAGAAAATTTCCAAATATACTACCTTGCCAAGTTGCTGTAAAAACTTAAGATGTCTTTCTTCAAATTGTGTTGGGTCCCGATCTTCGAAGGCCCCAGAAAATCCAAGAGCTCCAGTTCGCATATTCGGCAACATATCATTTTCTGTCAATAACTCATAATCTGAGGTGTAGGAGGAAGAGAAAAAGGATGAAGAAAGAAAAGAGAAGCAAACAGGAGAATGAAACAAGCTTACTACAGTACATCTTTTACCTAACCCTAACCCTAGGCAAACTCTGAGCTTAGGAGAATATTAAAAATCTCCTTTATTTATACTCAGTAATTTGCAGTCATGAAGACAATGAGATATTACCAAACAGTCAAGTAGCTTGACTCATAACAAGTCTTGCTGTAATTTCAAATATATATATATATTTTTTTAAAGATCTACTGAACTTAAATTCAGCAGCTATTGCACAATGACTCCATTATTATTGAGGCAAGAAATAAAAACCTGGGCTTGTGATAACGTGCATGTTCCACTTAGTAAAATATCTCTTACTTTTCAGAGATAAAAAACACCTTTGCAAATACATTTGGCTAGGAGATTGGAACAGTTAAGATAGACATTAATCATCACTCAAAGCATTATTTTTATTTCACACTAACTTTTAATATATTCTTTTTTACAACAAACTAAGCAGCAGTAATGGAATATTCTATGGAGTTGAAGAGTGGTTGTAGGCCAAAATACTGAAATGGGAGCCACCATAAGAAATGTAACCTGCAGAAACTAGGATTTTTTTCTACCTAATGCTATCCTTTTGTACCACAGACTCAGACTCACCAGGAGTGAACAAACTATTCAAGTCACGTATAATTGCCCTAAATGATGGCCTGAAATCTGGCTCATAATCCATACAGTTGTTTATCAGATTTGCTAGCTCTGTCCAATTGGGGGCAGGAAGCTGGTGTCGATCTTCATAAAACTGTAGTTTCTGGAACAGAAGGGAGAAAAGCCTTTTTACCATATAACCAGGAAGAGTTCTAATAGCCATGATATTCTGACTTGAGCAGTGAAAAAATACAGCTCTCAACCTAGGTTTATCACCTCACCAACATTCACATCTGATTAACTGACCAGCTGTTTAGAAGAACTACCATAATCTAGAGAAATGAGTTGAAAAGCTCCAAAGCAGTTACAGGTGGAAAATAAGAAAACAGAAGAAGGTATCTCCTTTGTATGTAATCTCATTCTAGCAGAAAATTTTATCCATTGGGTTAAATCTAGCAGAAAATTTTATCCATTAGTGAGCTGAGTGAGCTTCACTAGATGTAAAAAATCTTCACTGGCACTAGAAAAGAATGTGATTTAGTAGAAGAGATGAGGGCATCTGTTGAAAAAACACAGATGTCTAGAAGCTAGGTCTAAAGAAGATCTTAAATTTTTTTCTAAGAGCTGATTACAACACCTGAGAAATCGGATGAGGCTTTGTCAGAAAAACAGCCAATTTATAATAATAATCCTACAAGTCATTACAGAAAATGGTAACTTCTGTTCACTTCCAAATAGAAATTAAAGATATAAGAAATAATATTTTTATGGAATATATTTCTGCTCAACAACCCCATCCCTTGAGCCCCTGAGGCAATGCTAATATTTCTGTTTTAAATAAAATAGAATTGTCAGCAACACACACCATCTTACAGGTTTTAGGTATTTAGGTATTCATTTACAGCATAACTAGAATTATGCCAACCAAAGGTACATTGTTAGGAAAGCTTTTTTTTTTTTTTTTTTTTTTTTTTTTTAAGTGAGATAAGATTATAACAAAGGAAAGGAAGTGTGGGCAAGATAATTCTGGCATAACTGAACTTTGTCCCCATAAAAATAAAAAATTAACAATGTAAAAATAATCCTTAAATCATCACTTACGATGATCACCGTCTACCAGACAACGTGATGTTCCTTACAGTGGCTATGGGCCACACCATTTTGTGTGCTGATTGGTTACAAAAGCAGACGTTCTAAGGTATCCAAAGAACTGCCACTACTGCAGATACAGTGACACTTACTCTTGAAGAATCGAGAGCGCTCAGTGGTTTATCTCCTCCACTGCAGATTTCCCATAAAGTGGTACCAAAACTCCACTTATCTGTAGCTAGGCTCAGTTGTTTGGGGTTCTCAATACATTCAGGTGGAACCCATGGTATTCTCTCAAGAAGAACTGTTAGTCATGCAAAGAAAACATTATGTTAAGATCAGTAATAAAACCACAAAATTCTAAAACACATTTGATTCAGTAAAAATGGTTTTAGAATACGTAGGCATTTCATTTTGTAACATGTTTTCAATATCTTTCCAAGTTTTTGTTCTTTTCTTGAAACTACAGATTAACCACAGAAGTAATACTTTGGAATCAATAATACTAATGAATAATTAAGAATTAAGTACTACAAAACTAATACTTATGAATACTTAGGAAAACACATGTTCAGAAGATCATTAGTTTTACTATTGAATTAGACTAATGTTGAAATAAATAGTTTTCAAACCTCATTTCCACACCATATTTTTGTTCTGGCTTTAATATTTTCCCCCAAATTATCAAGATTTAATAGCTGTTGTGAAAGAGCTAGATAGCAAACAGCCAAAAGTACTTTACTGATTGTCGATACATTATGGCACAGCAGTATAAAATAACCACGGCGAGTGATTTCCCACTTTATGATTTCAGAGCTTTTATTAGTGAGTCTAGTAACATGTTGAAAGTCAATTTGTTTTCTGATGCTGATATAGATCTTAGAATATGATATTTTTAAGGTTAGTGAAGGCTTTGTATATTAAAAGAGTGAAAGATTATTGGCTAATAAAGACTATAAGCTCTATGCTGCCTACAGTCTCTTAGATGTGTTATATTTTCTGCATAAAATTAGCAAGTCTAAGATGTGTTCATTTTTCAAAAAAAAAATTATGAACACTCAGAAATGGATAAGAAGATTACTTCTGTTTCATTAGCATAAGGACCTTGCACACACTTTATGCCTCTTTCAGTATGAGATAATTTTGTTCATAATGCAGTAAAATAGTTTTTTTTTGCAAAGCTAATAACACAGTACTTTCAGCAACCTCTGTGACTTTAGTCATTCATCAAAATACTTACCAAAGATAATTTTCAACTGCCAGGCAGCATTTTAATAAATGCATTAACTTTGAGTTCAGGAAACTTTGACAGAATGAAGCAATTCAATCCTGATTGATAACAGGATACTAAGCCCAGCAGCTATCTGCAGTTTTACAGTACTTTATAGTATACTAATAGTACTATCAGTGAAAAGCATTTGTTTAGAATGGAAACAACACGAAATATTCATACAGTGGATAACTGTGACTTTTTTTTCCTGTGTCTGTTTGACGAGAAAGAGGATGCACTCAAAACTGCTAAGTAGGACTGTGGGGATTATTCTAAACTGCCAAAAGAATGAAGTGGTTTACTGAAACAAAAGTAATAAGATGATAGCAAGAAAAAAATAATCTTGATTTTCAAGTCAGAAGCATTAAAAAAGAAAGCTGACACAAAGACTTACTGTCTCTTGGCAAAACTGTGATACTGATGCCAGGATCACTTAGTTTTATAAAAGGAAGGTTTCCAGACTTCCTGTCCTCTTCTCTGATAAGCAAGATGTTCTTTGCACAGACATTCCCATGAACAAGGCCTTTATCCTCCTGATAAACAAAAAGGCATCTTTTACAGACAGACAAAAATACCTTATGATTGAAAAGGTATTTAAAAACAAACAAACAAACAAAAATCACTTAACAGCATAAAGGGAAAAAAGAAAATAAAGATCAGACATAAGTTTGACCAAATCTCAGACTTTTCATCAGTTCCTGTCAGTTAAGTTTTTCTATGGAAATTTTCATTCATTTTAATCATCAACATGTTTTGACTTTATCTGTAGTTAGAAGTATGTTAACTTAAATGAATGGGTTCATCAACACAATGCATTTAAAATGAACACAAGAAGCGTTAAACTCTATAAAAAGGAATATTTCAAAAGAACAAAAAAATCTATTACATTCTATGTAAGATATAAAGGTTTGACTTCAGCACTCAGTCGGCATCTTATTTTCACACTCTACACTTAGTTTCAAGAGGTAGGATAATAGCTCATCACTCTACATGCATTAACCTGAAACACTTTAATTCAACCATTAACAAAAATAAAAAATAAAAAATAAACTACCTACCAGGAAATGCATGGCTAGTGCCAACTGCTTGGCAACTTCCAGTTTCCACAAGATATTAATAACGTTTTTGTTCTTTTTCAAATATGTGTCCAAAGATCCAAATTTCACATATTCTTGTACAAGGATATCTAATTTAAAATGTTAGAAGTGTAATAATTAAAACCAACAAAAAAACAAATGGAAATTCAAGGCAGACATTACCATAATATTACCCATCTCCTTCTTCACTATTCATTGACAAACTAACTTACTAACTTACAAACTAACATCTTAATATTGCTACAAATACTTCATGCAATTTACTTTTCCACCTTAAGAAACGCAGTGATTATCCTTCCACCCTCACTCCAAAGGCACAATAAGTAACATAGCTTCTGATAAACATAGCACCGTACATAGCAACATGAATGCAGTAAGTCAAACAATGTCCATTTCAAGTCATTCACTTCTTAGGTGCTTATAATCTCCAATTTTACTGGAAAAATAAGACACTTCATGAAAAAAAAAGAGATTTCTTGAAAACAGATCAATAAAAATTTACAATATAAACATTTGCATATATGTATGACATATGTCTCCACATGGTCATACAGAGAACAACCCATGAAACAAGATTCACTTCACAGTACTGCACAATCTGTTTCAATAAAAAAAATTAAATTGTAGTACTGAAATCCTGTCTTCAACTGCAAGATGGATTGTAATAGAGCAGTTGAAGGGCCATACAGAGATTTTTGTATTTTACTGCCTGATCATGTCAGGGCCGTCCAAAAGTTAAAGCATATTCCTGAGGGCACCATACAAAAGCCTCCCCTTTAGGAAGTGTGTTCCAGTGTTTGGCCACCTTCACGGTAAATAAATTTTACTTGATGTCCAATGAGAACCTTGTCTCGGCAGCTTTAATCCATTCTTGTCTGCTCTGATACCAACTCCCAGAGAGAAGAGCCCAGAGCGTCCCTTCTCCTCTCCCCTTCCTCCAGAAGGTATAGAGAGGATGCTCACATTGTAGAGCTTTTTACACTCTGAACACTCTGGAAACTACACGTTTTATATTTGTCTAATGAAAGTAAACTAATTTTTATGACATTATTTTAGACAGAAAACTTTTTTAAAAATAACAGTTACGTGAAACAATTGTTCTGAAGTCTGTACATCAAACGTCTAATGGAAAAAGTAAGACCTTCTCTTCTCATTTCTTGCTAACTGCCACTTAGTAATATGTTCTAAGCCTCATAAGCCTCACCTTCAGAAAAAAAGATTACAGAGGCTGACTGTGATATAATGGAGAAATAATATCCACGCTTAGATTATTTCCATGTTTTAAAGTGATACACCATCTACCTGGAATTTTATACATAGTCTCTATGCATGATAATATAAATGAACTAGGAAAGGCAATTGTGGAAGTATTTAAAATTGAAACCAGTATTATGAGTTCTCAGACAAAAAATGTAGTGCCTTCCAACCTCGTAAGAAAAGCCACTTTCAATACAAAATGCCCTCACCTTCCTTGCTTTGCAAATTCCATTTCTCTTAATGGAGGCAGCAGTCTACACATTATTATTATCTACACATTATCTACACATTATCTACACATTTACTTCAAAAATGTCTCATTTTGCTACAAGCAGTTAAATAGAAGAAAAAAATGTTTTTTGTCCAAACTGACTTTTCTGCCAAGGACTGAATTAAAATGAAAACTGGTAAAGTGAGATCCAGTAATGCATATTTGAAGACAACACATAAGAACTGGACTGCCATCCAAAATTAAGATTTCATTATGAGGTTCTAGAATTATATATCAGGTGTTCTCAAAAACTTATTAATAAATAACTACAGTGCAAGTAAGTTTAGTAAGCTAAACTGAGGACATACTCCATTTCTATAGCTAGGGTAAAGATGTTGCTATTGTTAATGTTTCATTAATATTTGAAGTTTCTGTGGGGAATGAGTTCCCACTCTCTCCCCTTTTAAAAGAAACTCTAATGGCAGCTGTATATAATTAGTGAAAAAGATACTTACTCTCCTCTCCACACACACAGACTCCATAATTTAATACCAAATGTTTGTAAGAAAGCTGGCTCATCATACTTGCTGCCTCAAAGAAGGACTTTGAGAAAGAGAGAGCAAGAGAGAACCAATCAGTGAAAGAAAAACTGTGACACATTATTTGTAGAAAAAGATGCATATGATATAAATAATTTTTTTAAAAAACGATTCATCTCCCATCTCATTTCAAAGACTGTCTAAAATTTCATATTATTTATTTGTGGATGTTTTTTTTGTTTTGGTTTGTGCTTTTTTTTTTTAAAAAAAATTGATTTGCTGTTATTGTGGGTTTTATTTGTTTGTTTTAAAAAACAATCCACAATCTAGAAGAGTTAGCAGTCTCTTTTTCTGCAGGCAGATGCATCTCCTCATCTTAAAGAGAATCTTTTTTTTCTATATCAGTTAAGTAAACAATGAGCAAATTCACAATGTGCTATCCAGTTTGCATTTATTTCTTCATAGAAGATTATAAAGTTTTAACTTAAGACAAGAACTACTATATCCCTTATCTATATCCCTCATCCAGTGTTGTGAGACCTTATCTGACCTTGTTAGGAAATTTTCAAATGCTTTCATCTCTTTAATCATATTTTTTTTTTTTTAGCTATGCTTCCTTGCGTACAGATTGTTTCCCAATGAGATGAGGTTAAAATCAGCATATTTTCCTTCAAGGGTCATTTTCATATTTCTTTATTCTTAGAGCTCCTTAAAAAAATTATTTTCACCCTATTCTAAAATGATAGCATATTATCCAATTTCATAAAATTAAAATACATGTTATTTTTACTATCATTTTTACTTTCATATGTTCAAAAGGTATGTCTACCTTGCTTTTGACACTAGCTCTTGAATTTTTTTTCTCCTTTTCTTCAGTTAACATTTTAATTTAGATATGTTCTAAGCGGTTGAAAAGTTCATTGAATAAGAGACTGGTTCTTCTGACTTACTGCAAATGCTCTTAGGTTAATTAGGAATTTGAAACTATGATATAATCAGAATACACAATAAGCAGCCATATAAAGTTGCACTGATATAATAAGAAATAGCACATTTGTTAATTTTTTAAAATTAAATTTACACATATGTATTCTTGAGCTTATTTATATTACCATTATATTGCTTTCTGCAAAAGGGCAGTTCAGGTCTGCTCACAGATTCAGTCAAACACTAGAAGACTAATCAAATATGGGTGATTCCACATATGGCAACACTCCTCATATTTCTGATTTTTTATGACCTTATGCAAAATATTTATTTTACTGGAGAACCAGTAAGACTCAAACAAAAACAAAAACAAAAACAAAAACAAAAACAAAGCAAAGCAAAACAAACAAATAATAATTAAAAAAAAAAACCAAAAACCAAAAACACCAGGAAAACAGTCAACAAAAGGAAATTTTTCCCTAAAAGTTGATACCTCAAGTGTAGATCATGAGTTTACCAGTACAGGTTTGTGGCCAAACTGTTTCTCCTGTGCTACCTGCGTAGTACAAAAGAACCACTGTTTTTCGGTTCTCTGTGGTAGCTCTAAATTGTAATAGATAGCGGGCAGAAAGGAAATGAAGTATACAGGTGAAGTTCACAGAACTAGTTTCAAACCCATTTTTCCCTGTTTCACAAGGCAAAGAATGATCTCTGTTCAACAATCATCCCTCTATCATACAAATACAGCAAGTTGCTTACTTGCTGTAAGAAAAGTAGTATGGGATGGACAAGTACACTGCAGTTGACAATCATACCAACCTCAGAGTAGTTTCTATGCACTTTATCCAGAACCTTTAAAAGAACTTCAGTTTGATGGAGCTGGCCATAGTCTCCTACTTCTTTCCGTATACCTTTGAAAATCTTTGTAAATGTGCCCTGTCCAAGACTCTCTTCCTAAAAAGACAAAAAAGCAGGAAAGGGAAAATGAGAAATTACTATGTGTTCTGTCAAAGACAGACAACTTCTTCAATAAACAATGTATATATGTGAAACTTTTCAGCTAGTCCACCTCCAGAGTTGAAACAAGTATACCATGAACAGCTTAAATCCTTGCTAATTTTTTAAAGAAACTACTAACTTGTCAAGGATCTTAGGTGACAAATTGCTGAAAGAACCACAGAGGAAAACAAAACAAAACAAACTACCACTGCAGTCAAAAGGACACTTTTCTTTTTTAAGGAAAAAAAAGCTCTTTTGAATGCACACGGAGTTTTTATATAGCACTTACTAAACCAACTATTTGCAATGAAAGAAGCAACTAAAAGACTTACAAAAATCAAGTCCTCATTCCGGATTTTGTGAAAGACCATCTGGCTAACATTGTGCCTTTGCAAAGTTGGTGATGAAGGTACATCAGAGACACTATTGCTTCTGAAGACAAGGAGGTTTGATTTATCTGAGAGAACAAACAGAAGTAAAGTTGAGCTATAAAATATAAAAATCACATATTTAGAAGCTGTAAATACAAAAAAAAAAAAAAAAAAAGGCAATGTCTATCTGAGACCATTTTAAAAGCTATAGAGTGTCTTGGTAAATAATTCACTTTTTTGGATTAGCAAAAACTGCTTTTGCTGCTTCTCCTACTCCTACTGTTTCTGTATAGCACTGTTTCCTACAGTAATTAAGAACATAGTTTCAGTTCTAACAATGAAACTGTGATGGCTATCAGTGCTGTCTAGATAGTCATGTCAAAACAAAGTAAAAACAGGTAGGTGGAATGAAGAGAACCCACATAAGCCAATATGTGTACTTACCTACCTGAAAGCCATTTACTTTGTTGTTTACAATTTATAAAGACTTAAAAGTAAAACATTCTTGTTTAGAAATAAACTATCATTTCTTACCTTTTGGTTTTGGAGGACAGCACTTGATGAACTGGAAAATTATGCTGTCTGAGCGGACAGTTTCTGTCTGATAGCAGGTCAATAGATCCTTAAGATTACCAAAACTTCTCTTGGTTCCACTAAGATTATATTCCCCATTCTCATTCTTCGTAATTAAGCAATGTTTATAGTCAGTGACATTCTCACGCTGCAGAGATTTTTTCACAGCAAAAGGAAAATTGATCAATACTCAGTCATTAAAAAAATTAAATGCACAGCAGTAACCTAAAGAACCCACCCTTCAATGAAACATTACCACTATTTGTTATTTTTTACTCACTATGTAACAGTGATTCTGAGGGGGAAAAGAAACAAAACCAAATAACACAAACACAGCCAAGATTCTACCTCCATCCCTGAAATTAGTATGCTGCCACGAAGATGAACAAACATTAACAAATCTCCAAATATCGTGCTGAGAAAACATAAAGGAACCTAGGAAAGATCCTTCATATCTTCAGATGTAACAACCAAAGTTCCTTCACTGTTACATGGGGTAATAAAATAGAAAAAATGTTGGAAGCCATAACCCAAAAGCTCAAACTCTTTCATTTTGGCAAGTATTTGGAGATCTAAGGTGTATTTCTGTTTTTCTGCAGTGTACAGTGCAGTTCTAAGCAATTCATTCCTAGTACAGTAGGCTCTCAATATGCACTGAATTATTTTGATGAATCTTGAAAACATACCATTAGACGTTTTTAATCAAGAAGAGTTCTTAACAATGCTTTCATAATCCTTCATGTTAATGCTGTGAAAAACATTCCAACAAATTCCAACAAATCTGAAAAGTCTTTTAATGGCTTGCCCAGAAATAATTAGAACAGGAAAAACAAATGCGACCAGGTCAGTTAATGGCAAGCTTGACTCAGAACTTGACCCTAAGCTTGCTCAGGGACCAAAAAATCCTTAATACGGTTCACTGGCTAGACGTAAAATTTTTCTAAAACTGGTCTTAAAAATGGCTCTTTACTTCCACCCACAAATCAACATTATTTTATCATTTTGAAACATGTACCTACTTGTGACAGTGTTGAGTAAATCTGATAGCTTCCTGCAAAACTAGTAAGAAAAACCATGTATGCTACTTTTTCCAGTTAAAAACCCAAAGGTAGCTCTGCTCATTTAATTAAAAATAATCCCACCCTTGGAACAAGATCAATACTGGAACAAGATTGTGTAATTATGTAACAGCACTATTAAAGTGCTGCTTTATCACTAGCTACAGTCTCATAGAGTAGATGAACATCTGGCTTTTCAGCAGCATGAGAGTTTTGTAGGCATTTCAAGTGCAGCTTCTCATCTAGTTTACAGCAGATGTCCTGAAGATATATGCTGACATAACAAGCACCAGATAATCTAGCTGGATGAAGGATACAACTCAAACCTATAAAAACTCATCAATGAGAGACAACCTTAGATCACCACAGCGATCAACTGTACACTCAGTAATTAAGTCCTACTGTGCCAGAAACAACAGAAATCACCAAAATCCCCACATTACCACCCAAACAATTACAATAGTTTGAACAGTCACATTCCAAACCCAAAATTATCAAACTCTCTTTACTCTGCCTTTTTGGTTTTGGGGCATATATTCTGTGCCAGTGATTCTTCGTCATAAATTTATTTTAGTGTGTTTCTCATATGACCCTGAAAGTAGGCCTATCTGACACAAGTAGCTGTAGAATCAACAGACATACTACCATTCTGAAAAGAAAATCCAGAATCATTTACTGAACTTTCCATGCACATTATCACAACATGATAGAAATCATAGAAGTATTGTCCATGCCAGAATACAAACCTCAATAGCAAATGTGAGGAAGTATTTTTTAAAATCTTTAGGACTGCAACGAAGAACGTAGAAGCCAGTCTGATTACCTGCCTTCTTCAGTTTATTGATAGCAAAGTCCATGCTATATAAAAAGAAAATGATTAATACTGCATAATTTTAAAGAACAAGACCAGATAATGACTTATGAGCACTATTATAAGATATCTCATACAATGACAATACAAATTCTGAATTTTAAACTCCCCTTTAAAATAATTCATTTGCCTCTCTATTTTCCAGTAGTCACAGTAGCTGCTTCTGTACAAAAGAATGCAGTAAAGACTCTTAACAATTTAAATCTCATTGACCTATTTGATCAAAAACTTGGCAGTCTGAAAAGACATTGCCTTGGGTTTATGAATATGACTCTCAATTTCCATCATGGAAGAACCTGTTCAAGTGAAACTGTCTGATAAGCAAGCTAAGATTAGAGAAGCATTTGTGTGCATGGAAAATGACTAGTTTAGATTGGGAAAGGACTAATAACAAAAGGGATTTTAAAGAAAGCTTCATTTGTTACTACAGCAACTAATCTCTCTCTAACCAGTCATTGCTAATTATTTCTATCTATCTCAAGGAATTACAAAGAGAATGGTATGGAAAGTTCTGTTCTTACAGTACATCATGCTAAATAGTTCTAAATAAAAATCAATATATGGTATTTGTCTAGGTCTGCAAGATGCAAAAGACATGCTTTGAAACGTAAGTCTCTGTTCCTCTTCTCCTTCATCTCCCCTCATATGTACAGCACCTATACTCTGTCATTGGGAAATTTCCAGAAGCATTTGGTATTAATGAAGTAGGATGGTGCTAGTTCTATGCAAGTTATCTTGTAGATATTCTACCTTTGAGCTTTCTGTACCTAAAGCCAATACATATTTTTTTCTGCCTTAGAAAACATTCCTAAGCTCCCATGTTAAGAAAAGAAATCTAAGAAGGTATTGAAATTCAGAGATAGAGAACAAGGAGACAAGAAAAACAAGCAAAACCCTCAAAATTACATGGGTTGCACTTCACTGTATTTGAATTTGTCTTTTTCTCTTTAGTAACTCAAATAGTATAACTAATAGAGGCTGCAGTTAAAACATGAAGTCCTCTATAGCATTATACATTGCTGCCCTGATAATAACTGTAATTCAGTAAAAATCAGCAGCATGACTTTGCAGTGTCTTGCTTGAACAAAAGACAGAATTCTAAGGGAAGAAAATTAAAGCCAGAATCCTTTGTTCTATTTCTGATAATACACCAACAAGGTATTTTATTCTGCAAAGTGAAAAATGAGGAAAAATATAAAGCATTTTGTTACATAAGTGAAATAAATGCACATCTTAAGACGTCCATCACGGTTCACAATCAGCTAAAAATTATCCTTCAAAAACAACAGCACCTTGTTATATCACTAAAATTTGCTTACAAAATTGGTCCATGGCAATTGCTTTGTATATTTTCAAGCACTGATGGTGGTGCTACTTCTTTGCAGAGATAATGGTGGGCATCTGCAGTTAATCTGTAATATCCATCAATTAATGACACAAAGGAGAGAGCTTCTCTTAAAGACTGAAATTCAGCCTCCTGTTAAATAGCCAGGGGAGAGAAAAGAGAAAGAGGAGAGAAAGAATGAGAATTTGTAACAGTTAATGCAAATTTCCTGGATGTTCAGAATTTAATTCACAAATTCTGAATTTAAGAGAATTTTCATGGCTTATAGTTAAGGAAAGCACCTTTCTCCTATCCAAAACATTTTCATACTCTGAGCACTGTAAATGTATATTGCAGATATCTCAGCTACTTTTACATTTCTATAAAAGGCGTAGACAAATTTTCAAGTTCTTAACAGGCCATTAATTTTGTACTGTTAACATTAGAAATTAAAGAAATTCGCAGTTCTTCCATACATCAGTGAACCATGTGGCTTTTGTCCAAAAGCCATGTTAGGAAGACTAAAAACTGACTAATGCTTTTTGAGGGTTTTAGTAATTACTATTCTTATGAAGAAGTGCATAAGATGTATGTAGCTTCCTCATGCGAACAGTGGGAAGCTCTCTGATCACACTAATAGAGAGAATGTGAGTCCTGAGGACCTGCAGACCAGTCATGGAGACAAGGGAAGAGAACTGTATGGCACTTGAATCAGACTTTCCAGCAGCTGGCAAGGGAGTTTCTGGAGGCCAAACTAAAATAACTTTTTACACTCACATATAAAATTATTTTCCAGTATCTTCTTCAAAGCATTTTAAAAAGTAGAAGCAATGACATTAATGTTATGTCTGTGCACATTTTTTTTTAAAAGTATTATCATTTCTCCAGAATATTTTGACCCCTTTTCAATTTTTTGGTCACTGTCAGCCAGCTTAATCATGACTTCATACAAACAGTATGCTAGATTGCTAAAACACAGACTCAGATTTCAGGCTCCAACAAAGGATAATCAATCCATCCACGATCATCGTAAGCTAGAACTGTCTACATTAGCCCACACACAAGATATTCAGGGTTTTAATACACTGCTTATATTGCAAAAATGCATTCAGTTTTACCTCATGCTTAATTAACAACTAATATTTTGTTATATAAAACCATGAACACCGCAATTTGCTCAAAGCAACTATACAGCAACTATACTACCTATACAGAAAACAAAAATGGCAAGCAAATGTACACAGACCAGATTCTTGCTGTCTTGTTTGTGAATGGTGACAATTCTCCTCTCACTGGAACCTTCTTGACTTGCTTGTTTAATGCTCACATCAATGATATCAGGAAAATCACAATATGTTTGTAAATCCTACAACAAATAATTACATAGCCTCATCATCAACAAATTTCTGCTGAAAGTTATGATCACTTTTACAGTCAATCTTATTCCTTCATTAAATTTTCACAACATATTTTGTACACAGTTTCTGTAACAGTGAAAATACATTTGGCCTACGTGCTGTCTTTGTCACTAAGGATGCTAATATTATCAATTACGAAAAACAGTTCTGAAATAGTAATTTGAAAAGAGATCAGTTTAAACACTACACTTACTAAAGACTTAGTTGCCATGACAGCACAAAATACATAAGTTTTGTGCACCAAAAACTACAAACTGCAGAAACCAAACATCAGCTCCTGCAAGAGACTAGTGACTACAGAAAACTGCACAAGGGTGAGGACTGCCACATAATGTAAAGGAAATTACTGGATCTAGAATGAATCTGCAAACATTCTAAGAAAAAAAAGTAGAAAATCTGGTTAAGTAATCAGATTTTTTTTTTTTTTTACAGTTTTAGGAAAAAATGGCATTTTTACAAATCATTATAGTATATTATAAACATGTCACCAGTTTTTTTTGTAGTTTGGTCTGACTGCTACACTTTATGCATTAAAACTACCAAGCAATAGATGTAATTATTTTGGAAAACTGACATCTGCTTCACTTTGCCCTTAGTCTTACCTTTAGAAAATTCCCACACTCTTACTTTACACAGCTACTATCAGATTTTGGTACATTTTACCAAAGAACAGTCATGCTGGGAAACCATACACAAAAGAAATAATAGAGATAAATAAAAATACAACAGCATAAGATCATGACAAGTTATTGAACCACTTATCACCTAGCTCTTGAAAAAAGGAGTAAACAGACTGCAGTTATAGAAACATCTCTTTAAATTTGCTAGTTCAGACACTGGTAAGAGTCTAAGTGAAGCAATATAAAGAGGAATTTGCCTTGTTTTTCTGGATCCTGTATAGTCCTGATTTCAAGCAGAATTCAAGGACAACATGCGTTTTATTGAACATAAATTTTAACAAGCTAATCAAACTAATCAAGCTAATCAATGACGAACTGTGCAACTATTAAAATAATGAAGTAGATACATTTAAAGAAATTACCTGCTCTGCCAGCGTCTCACAGTTTTTAAGTTTTCCTCTTGAGCACTGAATTCCACCATTTCCAGTTATTACAATAGTTGCAAAACTTTCTTCTCCAGAAGGATCTCCACCAGGTTCTTTTACTTCAAAAACCTCTGAATAGAAGGCAGACTGAAGGGTTTCCAAATTTATGAGATACTTAAGTTTCAAGTTCCTGGCAGTAGCTTTGCACTGGCTGAACTGCTGTATGAATTTACGGAACCTGTACCTTATTCTCTTTCGAGTCAAAATGTGGTATTCTTGGATCTTTGCTCGCACGCATTTAGGCAAAAACATTTTGTAGCTGTGAATATATAACCATCAAAAAAACAAACAAACAAAAAAAAAACAAGCAAATAAACAAAAACCACAACTAATGATTTAACCCATTAAATCCAGCAAAGACATCTAGCTCTGTGCTGAACAAGACGTGAAAAAACATTTCCCACCAAATGTAACCTTTTTAAGCTCTAGGATAACAAGGATTCTTTCTTCAGCTTGTAATACAATCTTTCAAATATAGCCTTATCTCTTCTTCCATTTTCCTTTTTTGTCCCCCCTCAACTTCATTTGAACATATATTACATTATGCATTTTCCATATATCTGGACATCAGTTCAAGACATTATTTAAGTCTGAGGCAAGACAGCAACAAATAAATAAATAAATAAATAAAAATTGCAAGATAGAGAGTTGCTTTGTTTAGTGTATAGAGTGGAAAGAAGATGCTCAACAAATAGAATTTAGAGTTCATTATGGAAAATACAATAGGTGGTAGAACACAAGTAACACTGCTGCTGATTCTCATGAAAGTATTTCATATCACTGTCCATATTGGATCAAAAGACAAAAATGTAGTTTGATACCTCCAATCAGCTGGTCAATCTGTTGTCTTATTTTATTTAACTCCACCTGCTAGCCTTCATTAAAAGACATACACTAATAATGAAATACCAAGCCAGAATTCACTCAGCTGAAGCAGAAACTGATTACTTTGACAAATTGGAGTGCACTGATGAACTGAAGCAAGTTTAGTGGAGATTTGTCAGAGATAGTTAAGAGCCTGGAACATACAATATGAACAAAAAGGCTTATGGAATTTTGTACAGGGTGGAGAAAAGGCCCCAGTAAGGTGTTCTAGCAATTTTGTTCAACTAACTAGTTATGTTAGTTGATGTAGGATTTTCACAGATATGCACAGTAATAGGACAAGGTATTGTACATGTGGTATCACAGAGGAGAGATCAATCAAATGAGGAGAAAATTCTCCCTAGTGAGGATGATAATACATATGTCAAAACTTCACAAAGGCATGGTGGAATCCTCATTCCTGGACATTTTCAGAACTTTACTGCCAAGGCCCTGTGCAACTTGATCTCAACTTTGAAGCTGGCCCTGATCTGAACTGGAAAAAATCCATGTACTGAAAAACAAAAAGAATAGCTGTTGTGATACAAGCTTTCTATTGATTTCAAGCTTACACTATATGTAAATTTATGGAACCAATATGCAAGGCTAAATCAATCCCCAGTAGTTAAACATCTCCACCCAGATGGCTATGTCATGGCTTTTCATAGGTATTCAATACCATGACATCATGCAGTGAACTGTCAGAGTTGGGATGGCTGCTGAGGAGCTGCAGCTCCTGGGAACTACAGTTCCCAGCAGCACCAGTCACTCTTACATGGTTTCCATGGCCTTACTTCTGGCCATACTACCATTTGCAGCACAGTCAGAAAGATGTTTCTCTGCCCTCTTTGTTTATTACCCTTGATTCCTTTTGTGTTGTATTATCACACATTCCTTTATCATTTCTAGTAAATGAGCTTCTCTCTAACTCACTTGAGCTGTAATCTCTCCTTTTTCACTTCTCTGCTTTCTTTCTGCAGGGGAATGGGGAGGGGAAAGGGGGCCCTGCTTGCTATGGGACAAAAGATCTTCAACTCGTGACAGACTAGGGTGCAAAATTAATATCTATAGATAACAGGTGTTACACAGTTATGAACTATTGAGTTACCTGATTGAGTTGTAAACAGCCAGTGGGGTTTGGTCCTTTTCCTTGGCCACCCTCATCATATCCAGAACTGCCATTCCAAGGCATTCTTCCTGCGTTTCATGAGTGACAGGCATCTGTATCCATCCACCCAAAAAATCATCTCGCCACTGAAGAAAAATGCAAGAAAGCAACTAAAAATATTTGTACATGAATTGCAGTGTTATAATTTTATTTTGTTGGTTTTGCTATTTATTCTACATTCTTTTAAGTGAAACTTTCCATTTCCAGAGAACCACATATGCTCATACTGGACACCAGATACAATTGTGATTAGAAACTGTTCTCAAAATGTGCTTGATTAAAATCTTTACTAGGTCCGTGTGTCACAGAGCCACAGAATCTTCTGAATTGGAAGGGAAGGAAAGATATCATCAAATGCACCTCCTAGCTCCACAAAGGACTCTCATAAATCAGATAATATTTCTGAAAGCACTGTCCAAATGCTGTTTGAACTCCAGCAGGCTTGATGCCATGACCCCTGCTTTGGAGAGCCTGATCCAGTGACTGATCATTCTTTGATGAAGAACCTTTTCCTAATCCCCAGCCTGAGTCTCACCTGACACAGCACTGTACCATTCCCTCAAGTACTGTTGCTGCAAGTAGAGAGTAGAAGTTAGCATTGCCTTTCCGCTCCCCTCATGAGGAGCTGTAGGCCACCATGAAGTCTCCCCTCAGCCTCCTCTTCTCTAGCCTAAGCAAACTAAGGGACCTCTGATGCTCCTCATACATCTTCCCCTCTAGACCCTTTACCACATCTTTGCAGCACTCCTTTGGACACCAGTAGTTTCATATTTTTATATTGTGTCATCCAAAACTGCACACAGTACTCAAGGTGAGGTCATACCAGTACAGAGCAGGGTGAGACAATTCCTCCCTTTGACTGGCTGGCAATGATGTACCTGATAAACATGAAGGCATGGTTAGCCCTATTGGTTGCCAGTGCATAGTGCTGTTTCCTGTTCAACTTGCCATCAACCAGAACACAGAGATCTGTTTCTGTGGTGCTGCTCTCTAGACTCTTGTCCCCCCACTCCATACATATATCTATGATTGGAGAATCTGGCACTTCCTCTTCTTATACTTCATTTGGTTGATGATTTTCCAGCTCTATCTCTCAAGATGTCTTTTAGAGAGTCTACAGCTTCTCCTAATTCAGTCTTCTTTACAAACTTACTTACTATATCTTCCAGTCTTTATCCAAGTCATTGATGAAAACATTAATAACAGGCCTTAAAAATGGAAGCTTCCAGAATCCCAGAATCCCACACTAGTGACTGGTCACCAGTCCTATCTCTAGCCCTGTTTACATAAAAATTTTTTTAAAAGTCCTGTTATTCTCTCTGTTGGTCAGCTTCAATTCTTACTGACTTTTTTTTTTTTTTGTACAAATTTTCTCCCTACAGAAGGGAACAGCACTCCTATACTCCTACAATACTGCCTAACCTCACTTTCAGTGGCCACACACTTTCTTTTTTTCTGCCTGAGCTCTAGGTGAAGATCCCCATTGAGCCAAACCAGCTTTCTGCCCTGCTTTGTTGACTTCTGACACTTTGGAATTGCTTGTTCCTGGGCTTTTAAGAGGTGGTACTCAAAAACAGACCAGCACTGATGAACCCCAACACCTTCAAACTAGTTTCCCAGCAGACACTTCTAACCAGTTTCCTGGGCAGCCTGAAGTCTGCTTTCTTCACATCCAAAGCTGAAGTCTTGATGGCAGTTTTCACCCTGCCACTAAAGATTATAAACTATACAACATCATAGTCACTACAGTTAAGACAGCCACTAATTGCCATTTCACTCACAAGACCTTCTCAGCTCATAAGCAGCAAATCTAGTAGGGCATCTTTTCTCATTGGCTCCCTTGGTACCTGTACCAGAAAGTTATTCATGGTGTATTAGGAATATTCTGAATCTGTCTGTATCAGCTGTGTGGTATTCCCAGTTTAAGCCTGACAAATTGAAGTCACAAGGGCAGCTGATCATGAGGTCTCTTATTTCCTTCAGCAATGATTCACTGATGTTATCATCTCAGCTGGAAGACATGTAATAAAGTGGATGTTGTTTGAAGGTCTATTTGCTTGTCCCTTAATCCCTACCCCAAGGCCCTTAACCATCTCACTGCCAACTACAAGCTTCATGCACTCCAGGCCCTCCCTCATACCCAGCATCACATTTCCACTTTATATGCCCTGCCTATGTCTCTCTGTTGATGAATCTATAACCATCCCTCATCACACAGGCTCCCAGGATTCCTCCCAACAGATTTCAATTATGCCAATAATGCCTTCAAATTTTGGTATGTCATTCCATAACTTAATACTGGTGAGACTGGCTCTATTCTTTTCCCCTTCAAAACTAGTTTAAAGCTCTATCAATCAGTTCTATCAATCAAACTGTGCTAGCTCAAGCACAGAAGTCTTCCCACCTTCTAAGAAAGGTGCAACTCAGTGGTTGCCAGTGGGTCTCAACTTGAGAAGGCTATTCCAAGATCAAGAAGCAAAATTCTGCAGGTGACACCAGCCTTGGAGCCACCTGGGTCTTGGCTTCAACACCTGGGTCTGCCTGTTCCTTTCAACATTGCTCCAGGCTTCTGGGAGGACAGAGAAAAATATAACCCCAAGACCCTGATGTCCCTTCTGATTTCTCTTGGACTTTTTTGCTACCTCATCACCATGGACATGAAAACCCGCTAATAGACATTAAGTGGAGAAACACACCAGGGTAGTGAGTTTTGTAGTGATGTCTCTTACCCAAGATGGCAATAGACTTTCCTATGGTTTGAGTCTGTTTGGTATATGAGACCCTCTGTTGCTCTCAGAAAGGAGTCACCTATCACAAAAACACTTCTTGTATTGACCGAGGTGCTCATGATATGGGTGAAAGGCTGTCTAGCCCTAGGTGATCCTGCAGCCTAGATAAACCTTCATCTACATCATCTATCTGTTCATCAAATTCCAAAGCTTCTTTCCTTATGTAAAAGGGCACCTGAATGTGAGGGTGAGATGGGCAGGGAGGAGATTCACCTGCCACTCCGAGCAGAAACCTGCCTCTATTCCCCTCTCTCTCCTTGCTACCTTCCTTCCTCCTGTTTTTGAGAAGAGAGGTAGCCCTTCATTTCTCTTGCTGTGGTCAGCTAAAGCATCTGTCTTGGGGATGGCAGAGAACAGCTCCGCCAGTCAGTCTCCTTCAACTTCCTGATGTTCATCAGCCCACTCATCTCCTCCCAAAGCTCTGTCCACAGGCTGAGAAATACTTCCATCAGGTCATATTTCCTACAGGTGTACTCACTGCTGTCACCAGACACTGATGGAAAGCTTCGCACATCCTGCAACCTGAAACCTGGATTGCTTCATGTTCCTTCAGGAACTCTGTGTAACTGCATCAGTTTCTGTAGTTGGAAAGGCTATAGGTGTCACAGAAGACACAACTATCTGCTGAATGGATGTCATAACCAGAGCTGTTGGAAATGGCAGACAGACAGCAACTTGTCATGCAAACTGCAATGCTAACATATGTGGAGAATGTTGTTCCACATTATAACAGTCCAAAATGAAAGTCACAGTAGAAAGATTTTCACGTGGTGGCACTAGATGGGAACTGCACAGTCTCCCTGCTCTCCCCACGACCGCCATTTGAACTTCACCTCTGCAGAAATACAATGTGACACAAGCTTTAATTTTTCTGTTTAAAAGCTTCAAACTGTCAAAAGAATTTGCATAACTACTATTAGAAGTGAAAGGGAGAAATACCATCAACCTTTCTAAGTCTGCATTTTAAAGATATAATCGAGAAAATCATACCTGTGCAAATAGGTAAGACATGACAAGATCATCAAGAACAGGGCTTTCTGAACCCCGAATAATGCCATAGCGATATGCTCTGCTTGTGCCATTGCAATACCAGTGAGGAAAATAAAACCTGTTAAAAAATATTTAAGTAAATGACAGTGAAAATATATGCTTGTTTACCAACACCGAAAATTACATATTTTGTAGACCTACAGTAAGTGCTGGCTGTTCTGCTGCTCTGAAGAGCCAATATTAAGCCCTCCAAAGTCAACAGAAGGATTTGATCTAGTTCTTGGTGTGTAGTACAACACTTAGAGGGTGAGAAGCTGCACTGGTAAAAACAATGAGCTCTGCAAATCTACCCTTACTAATCAGAATACAGAAGATCTTGTGTTACTCTTTCAGTTTCCTCTAAAACAATTCCTAAAGAAACAATCAAGTTATCAGGTTACATTATGCAATTTAAAGAAAAAGCAGCCTATTCCCTAAGGAAAATGGTGACTGTAGATTTAGAAGCCCGCATTCAGAAATCAGGGTAGATAAAAATGGATCTACTGCAGGCATCCACCTGACTAAAATAATCATTCTGCATTTCAGAACTCCTACTGACTCCAAATGGTCAAGTAAGGAGATAGAGATGTAGTACTCCTAAGAACAATATTATTTTAATTCCTCATACATTTGAATTTTTTCTTTCTCCAATTTGAAATGGCATACATATAATACGTATACAACTGAAGTTACTTGATTTTTATTCTCTTATCTTTTATCCAGATCTCACCAACAGTGTCTGTAACAGAGAAATTACAGCTCATCTAACTACATTACTGACTGTATTTTCCTCACACACTTCTATACTATCATGAAAAGTGTGTAACATTTGCTTTGGATTACCTTATCCGGTACAGTAGTATTAGTCTGGTTCCTTCATCTATGTGAAAAATGTGATTTGGAGGATACCAAACTCTATCTGTTTCACTCATGAGTGCAAACATGTTATGATACACTGGCATGATACCTAAATAAAGAACAGAGAAGTATTTATAAGAATTTGTTTTCATAGAGAATCAATCTTACTATGAAAATTACACTGTTAAGAGTAGTAGATAACACATGTTCTCCAACCATTCATTACACAGCTCTACCACTGTCAACAGCATTGCAGAGATCATCTTAAAACCTGCAGATTTTTTTCTGGTTTGTTTTCTCATTCTTTAACAAGATTGTACTTACTTGTTACTCTATTCTTAATGTTCAAATTATAAGATTTTATCTGGATGGCATTTAATACAATGGATTATTAGCCTTTTAGTTCAAGAAGTAACAATCAACAACAGTACGTTACTTTGTCCTTACCTTTTCCAAAAATTGAATCTAGCTATTGATTTCATTATTCCTGATCGACGAGTAATCAGAGCCCATCATTACTAGAACCTGCCATTTACACTCAGTTAAGAACAAAACCAAATGTACAAAAATGGATATATTTTTTTCCCCTCAGAAAGCTCTCTTTCAGAGAACTCTTTCAGTGAGAACTGAAAATCAATTCTACTTTTAAACTGTGTAAATCTGTGAAGTACCAGATCTTCAGAAGCACAAAATTATAATTTGCCTTTGAGGCTTCTAACTGCAGGGTACAGTCTACCTTGAAAGACAGACAACAAAGTTCTGTAATATACTATACTGTTGTGTGTGATGCCAGTGTTATGACTTGGAAAACAGGTTAGATATCCAAGACTTTGCAGTATTAAAGAAAGAAATTCAACCACTGAAAAACTCACAAGACATAATGGGATACAGGTGCACAGATCAGAGAGTAGGATAAAAGTTGTAGGGTGAAAGTCAAGATAAGGAAATGAACCTGGGGATTACAATAGTTGGCTGAACATGAGACAGCAGTATGCCCAGTTAGTCAGCTGGACCGGGGAGGTGATTATCCCCTAATATTCTGCTCTGGTGAGGTTACATCTCAAGTACTGTGTTCAGTTTTGGGGCCCTCACTACAAGAAAGACATCAAGACCCTGGGTCATGCCCAGAGAAGGTCAGGGAAGCTGGTGAGAGATCTGGAGCACAAACCTTATGAGGTGTGGCTGAAGGAACTGGGATTGCTCAGTCTGCAGAAGAAGAGGCTCAAGTAGACAATAGCTCTCTACAACTACTTGAAGGGAGGCAGTTGGTCAAGTTTGGGTCAGTGTCTTCTCCCACACAGTTTGCTGTAGCACTGGAAGGAACTGTCTCAAGTTGCACTGAAGGAAGTTTAGGTTGGATATTAGGAAACATTTATTCTCTGAAAGTGGTCAAGTGCTGGAAAGGGCTGCTCAGGGATATGGTTGAGTCACCATCCCTGGAAGTGTTCAAAAAAACATTCAGATGTGGTACTAAGGGACATGGTTCAGTTGGAAAATATTGCTAGTAGAAGGACAGTTGAACCAGATGGTCTTAAAGGTCTTTTCCAACCTTGGTGATTCTATTCTACGAAATAAACACAAATATTTTAAATACCTCACAGATAGTGAGAACAATTGCAATTGCAAATAATGTTAAGAGACACAAGAATTCTGACAAGAGGCAAAACACTAAAAATCAATTCCATCCCGAAGACTTAGAAGGAAATGACAGAAATTCGCACAGAAATCAAGAGAAAGAAAAAGTTTTTATAGACTTCACAGAATCACAGAACAACTTGGGTTCAGGGGGATGCCAAGGACCATAAAGCCCCAACACTGGTTACAGGCACAGTTGCCAACTGCTAGGTCAAGTACTACATCAGACTGCCCAAGGGCCTATCCAAACTGGCCCTAAACACCTTCAAGAATAGGGCATCCACAATCTCTCTGGGCAACATGTTCCAGGACCTCACCACCGTCAGCAAAAAAAACTTCCCCCTGACATCTAATCTAAATCTTCCCTTCCTTAGTTTAAAATCATTCTCCCTTGTCCTATTGCTATCTACCCATGTAAAAAGTTGATTTCCCTCATATTTCTAATTTTTTAAACTCTAAATATTGGAAGGCTGCAATGAAGTCTCCCTGCAGCCTTCTCTTCTTTTCCATTTTGAATAAGCCCAGTTTCTTCAGCCAGTCTTAACAGGAGAGGTTTACAGCTCTTGAAACATCTTCATTGCCCTCCTCTGAACTCTCTCCAAAAGCTCCACATCTTCACTGTGTTGGAGGGCCCAGACTTACAGATGCAGTATTCTAGTCTGGGTCTCACAAGGGCAGAGTAGAGGGGGACAATCACTTCCCTTGCCCTGCTGGCCATCCCTCTTCTGATAGAACCCAGGATAACATTGGCCTTCCAGAGTGCAAGTGTGCATTCCTGGTTCATGTTAGGTTTTTCATCAACCAGGATCCCTAAAGTCCTTCTCAGCAATGCTACTCCCAAGGAGTTCTTCTTCTGGTTTGTATACATATCTGGGATTACCTTCACTCAAGTGCAAAGCCTTCCACTTTATTTTGTTGAATCTCATTAGGTCCACCAGGGCCCACCTTTCAAGTTTATCTAGGTTCCTCTAGATGGCCTTCCTTCCTTTTGCTCTGTCAGTCACACCACTCAGCTTGGTGACATCAACAAACTTGCTGAGGGTGCATTCAATCCTATCATTTGTCTCACTGACAGGGAGTACTGGTCCCAAGATTGACCCCTGTAGGACACTACTTATTACCAGCCTCCACTTGGACACACAACCACTGATCACAACCTTCTGGATGCAAAATTCCAACCAATCCCTTATCCACTGAAAAGCCCACCCTTTAAATCTTTATCTTTCCAGTTTCGAGATAAGGATGTGGTGCAGGATCATGTCAAAGGCCTTGCACAACTCCAGGCAGGTGACATCAGTTGCCCTCTCTTTGTCCACTGATACTGCTGCTCCATCACAGAAGGCTATCAGAGTAGCCAGGCACAACTCTGCCCTTGGTGAAGCCATGCTGCCTGTTTCGGATCATCTACTCATCCATCACATGCCTTAACATGTCTTTTATGAAGATCTGTTACATGATCTTCCCAGGCACAGAGGTGAGGTCCGCCAGCTTGTAGTTCCCTGACACCTCCTTCCTCTCCTGAAAATGGGAGTGATGTTTCTCTTTTTCCAGTCCCCAGGGATTTTGCCTGTCAGCCATGACTTATGAAATATGATGGAGAGCATCTCAACAACTACATCAGCCAGCTCCCTCAAAACCCTGTGATACATGTTGTCTGGCCCCATGGACTTGCACACACTCAGACTCATGAGCTGACCTCAGACTTGCTCTGCCCTTACAGTGGCTGGGGGAGTTTGCTCCCACAGTTCCCAGCTAGAGGTTCGTAACAATGTCTAAGTGCAGGTAATTATTGAAGGAGGTAGGCCCCTGTCATCAAATCTAAAGCACATTTAATCATTTAGAAACAAACGAATCAACTCTAGGTATAAAACTGCGTAAGCACATAGAACAAAAAGTAATTCTCTCCTTAAGAACAAGCTTAAACTTCTTATAAATTGAGTATGTTGTGGGCAAGGAGCCAGCAACAAGGCTAAGAGCAAGCGCTCTTGTGTAGCTGTCAGATTAAGCTGTTGAAATCTACAAGCTAATAATCTGAAATAGCTCACCAAAACGTGCCAGGTCTACAGATACTAACAAGTGATTTTCAATGGAAGAAAACAGAAGGAACTATGTGAAGTAACCAAAGAGGAATGAAAACAAAAAAAAAAAATCCCACAAGAATAACTCTGAACAGATTAACAAATGAGGGACTGAGTGTAAATCAGGATGTAGCAAATTCATGGTACAGTAAGAAATATTTGATCTTAGATTTTAAAAAAACAAAAAACAAAAAACAAAAAACAACTAATTACATTTTTTTCTGGAGTTAAGAACAAGTCTGTCCTAACACTAATCCTATGCAACTGAATTCAGTTGTGAAATCAGATCAGTTCATATTACAGACTACCAGTCTTCAAAGCAACAATAACTGACTTTAGTTCTGAGCCTGTGTGGCGTATGCATACCAAATTATCACAGAATATTTTACAGTATAATGCAAGTAAATTACTAACCTATTTGAGATTCTAGCCAGATGCCAGACACCACTGAAGACAGTGTTGAATATTTATGTAGTCTCATTAAGATATTACCCCGTTAAAATCTGAAATAAGTTCACTGAACAATTCCAAGTAATTTTTAAACTCAAATGCTAAGGTATTATGTTTCACCAAGTACATTACAGAAAAAAAAAACAAATAAAAATAAAGAGAAACATACACATTTACACACAACACTTCAATACTTCAACCCAGATCACATCACTGCCATTCACAACAGAAATTGATTTCTTAAGTGAGGAATAGGACTTTGAAATTCTCCCTACAAGGTGAAATACAGTCATTAACAAAACAAAAAGAAATCCACCTTTGCTTCCCTCCTATGCTTAGGAAGTAATTTAAGCACTCATCCATCCTTCATACTTAGTCATTTGTAATTTCATATTGTAGTTGGTATCTTTCACTGCTAGTGCTTGGGGACATATAGATCATGTGTTCATCAAGAAAGGGTGTTAAACCTCTTAATTCCTAAGGAGGAAAGAAAACGTGGAGGAGAGGGAAATTATATATATTAGCATCAGCATCAAAATGTTGCCAGTTTTGAAAAATTGAAAAATTTTCTACCATTACGCATTTAGAGAAAACCCATTTATTAGGGTCTTGAAAGTTGTCCATTAAGGTCTGATGAAAGCAAAGTTCAAACACTTCCTTTTTCTTGTAAACTTTGGCAGCACTAGTAATTGCAGGGATATTTCAAACAACTAGCACTAGGAGGACTTAAGTGTTTTCTACAGAAACAATGAAAACCAAAAAGGATGGGGAAGAGTGGGAGGAGGGAAAGGGTGTCTGTGCGTCTAAGCCTTCCCATGAAACCTAGACAATTAACCAGTAGTGAAAATTTCTGAGAAATCATTTTCAATACAAGTAAAATCAGAAAAGCTGTTCAAAGAGGTATTAAAAACCTCCACTGGTTTTCTACACTTCACTAATCACATTAGCAAATAAAACAAAGAATAGTTAGAAGAGGCAACAGTGACTCAGACATAATAAAGTAGAATTACTCTCCACTTTTCATGCCTAGCAAGGCTATTAAGCAGATTGTCTGGACTACAGCAAACAAAACCAGAGCTGTCTCTTGGCAAGTATTTTGTTTAGTAGACAAGACTAAACAAAAAAGCCACAGCACCCTATACCATTTGTCAAGTAACATCATGAAAGTCTTTAACACAGCATAGTTTTAATCCTCAAACTTCTACCTCAAGCCTAAAAAAAAACCACAGCAAAAACATTTTTATAGAGCTCCTCCCTTTCCTCACTGTGCTTTCATAGTTCCACATCTACACTGATTATGCTTTTTTTTTTTTTTAGTAAAAAATATAAATACTAAAAACTATTTAAAAGTATAATTTCATTTTAGATTAATTTGAAGGAGAAGAGAAAGGGAAAGGATTTAAGATGGTCATTAGCAAAAACAGATCTCAGATACCGAATTTAGAAAATGAATCTAATGCAATGATGCTATAACCTCTAGAATAATTTTTTGTAACTCATTTTGATAGTTACTTGTTCTAATATCATTTCCTTTCTTTGGTTAAGGCTTCCCTTCATTTTGTTGCAACTATTTTAGAGTCATCTTACAGGGCAGATGACATAGGTAAGGCTGATTGCTGAAAACAACTCATTGATTTAACCTTAAAGTCAACAGTTCTGGTTAGAAAATTTGTCAGTTTTGTGTTCTGACAGTTTTTAATATCAAAATCCAAACAACATACAAGAAGGTTTGTATTAACTACATTTTTCCCAAAATTGAATGCTGCTTTTTTGTATGTTTGTCTTTAATAAAAAGAGGAAAAACCTAGCCACTACATGAATGTCTTGAACTGGCACTCAACTACAGAATATTTATACAGATGAAAATTTATAGAGCTAATATACACCATATTCAGCAGATTTGAAGCCAAGCCAGCTGAGATAGGAAAACCTTCAATTGTTTAACTTGTCTAAAAGGTACACAAGACTGCTAGCCACAAGCAGCATTCATACTTTGATGTAACCAGGTCTGCCATCAAGGGATCTAGCAATTACTCAAATCATAGAGAAAGTTCTTCAATATTTTCCAAATTTATTGCATCTCAGACATTCCTACTACCTAAACTACTCTCTTCTTTATCAAGTATATTGATTCATAGAAAATTCCTGAAAATTCTTGCCAGTTTAAGCATTCTTGGAGTATGTATGCTATGCAGACCTACAAGCATAAAATCTCATTGAAAAAAAAAAAAAAAAAAGTGAAAATGATTAGAAGTGATAGTTTGTAATTTAAGAACTGATAACTATTATGAAAAAGAAAAAGAAGCCCTACATACAAAAAACATTTCAGTCTTCACACCAATTCAGAAGGTAATGAAGTTAAAAATTCCTCTGACAATCTGGCAGCAAAATACTGCCATGGTAGCTGTCACGCAGAAATCACTCTTCAGACGACTTTCTCCATCTTAGCTTTAAAAGGATGAAGGCTCAAGATAACAAAATATTTCATTTATAGAAGCAGTTACAACACCACTACAAATATGAATTGCAAACTGATAGAGAGTGATGTAACAATAGCTAAAAAGATAAAACCCACTCAGTAAGGAATTCTGTTTATACAAAATTACTTCCTAAAATAGTCAGTTATAGAAGAATACATCTGGGAGCTAGAAACCAGTCAAACCTACAAAATGGAAGCTAGAAGCCTTGAGAAAGACTGGTGGCGTCTGAGAAAACAAGAAACATGAAGTCTTTAGATAATGTCATGGGAAATACAACCAATTGGATTCCTAGGTTAGCAGGAATTATATCTTGCATGTTTGTGACATGGACGAGAAGAATATTGTACACGACCTGGTCTGCACATATTCATGGGAAATTGGAGATGGTGCAGAAGACAGTAAAAAATGGAAATAGTTAAGACATACAAACTATTGAAATCCATCAAAAATCTTCATTAAAAATGATCTAAAAATAATATAATGATGGTAATGTAAGTGTCTCTCTAGCAGTGGTGACGGGGAAAGGATGGAAAAAACCATGACTCTAAACGAACATTTGAAAACTGAAAAAAGGTGAATTTAAATTAGAGAAGAGAAAATGGAAATAAAAAGTAGACAAGAAATAACAGAAGTAAGTTGCCTGGTTTTCTGGAAGCTGAGTTTTAAATAACTGATTTGTTAGATGAGTTAGAAGAATTTATGACGTTCTCTCTATGACAAAAATAACCTAGTCAAATAAATAGTAAGAAAAAGAAAGTACCTGATGTCATCCCAGCTGATCACACAATATATTCCTTCAAAGACTATGCTATTCTAACATAGACATACATCAAACATACTAAGTTTGACATACACAAGACCTTATTACTTTAATATTCTGGCAAGTTGATATGAGAAGATTAAACTTAAAGAACATTTTATTCCTCCACTTTCTATTGAAATCATTCTCTAGTTAATCCCCTCAGCACTGGTCCTTCACTGCAGTAGCAGTTAAAGGTTTTATGGGAACAAATATAATCTACTGTAAAAAATTCACCACTTCAGCATTCAAAAACTGAAGAACCTCCTCCCCTATGCCAACTAGCCTTACATACTTATTAAATACTGTACTTGAGGGTATTACAGCCATGTTAGTATTAAAAGAAAAGTCCAAAAACACCCACCAAAAACACTGGCAACAATGCTAAGTAATGTTCTCTTACTACAGAATTCACAATAATCGATAAGTCACTAAGGAGATGTTTCCAAAGTGGGTACACGTTTGTGATTCATTGGAAAACAAATACCTGAAATTATGATCGCTTCTTTTAAAGTCATTTGCACCTGAAATGTGGCATTTGGAAAACTAAAAGACAAAGTCTTGTACGCTGGACAGTCCCAAAAAGAGACAGAGACACTGTGTGCAGGTGCACACATGTGCATAATAAAGTCTCTTTAGTATCTGGACTTTGAGATTAATTTTTTTTTGTATCCAAATTGCCCAAATTCAGAGATTCAAGCTGTTACTGCAATGAAAGGAAAAATCCTCGCACAAAACACATTCAAATTTTTTTACTATAGGTCTCAGCACCTATATATGGTCTGGGTAAATGTAACAATTGAAAGGCATTGTTAACTAGACATAGGATTATTTATTTATTTATTCTAAAGTTGATTACATATTTGCTGACTTAACTTTGTAAACGATTCAAAAGAAAAAAGCCACAGACATAGTGGTCATGTTAATCTAATATACCATTTTCCATCTAAAAAGTTATTCATTTATAGTAAATAAATACATAGTAAAGTGAAGCATTTAAAGTAAATAAATAATATAAATAAATATAAAAATATGCATTATACATTTATACATACTTATATTTGCATAAATATATAAACATATATATTACAAATACAAATGAATGTAGTAGACATGGTCACCAGATTATAATTGCAGCTTCACAAGCTTTCTGATAGCAACAGAAGCCTTGCGCTAATCACTGCTGATAATGATGAGTTGAAAAACATTAAAGAGATTAGCATTTCTGTTAAAACACCAGTATTATGATGAGCTTTGGTTTATTAAAAGCTCTCTTGCATCAAGTGCAATTACACTGTCAAAAAAACCACAGCATGTATACTTACCACATGCTTTGCAGGCAACAATGCAAATCTCTTCTGCAATGTATTCTCCAACTGGAAATTGAAGATAATCTCCTCCTGTCTTCCCAGGTGAATAATAAAGGTACACTTGAAGCAATGGCTCTGTCTGCTTGGGTGCCCTAGTATTCCCAAGGATGTCACCATTCTGGTGTACAGTGGCAGTTGCTGTGCCTTCTATATTAGCCATTGTAAGACAGGCCATTGTTTTCCTTTTGTTTCTGTTCAGAACATTTGTCTAAAAGAAACGCAAAGAGTACTTTCTGAATCACTGCATACAGTCTTGCTCGCAATACTTTTATCTAACAAAAGCACCCTTCTGACACAAGGAACATAAACACTTATTACTGAGAATAAGACAACAGCTTAGAAGGTCCACTAAAAGTTGAGTTTCTCTTTAATTTTGTAGAATCACAGAATGGCTTTGGTTGAAAGGGTGCTCAAACATCATTTAGTTCCAACTCCTTGCCATGGACAGGGTTGCCAAGCACTTGACCAGAGTGCCCAGGAACCCACCAAGCCTGGCCTTCAACGCCCCCGGGAATGGGACATCCACAACTTCTCTGGAAGTTCGCATTGGAACAGGTTTCTTCCAAATTTCTTCCTAACATCAAACTGAAATCTCCCCTATTTCAGTTTAAAACCATTTCCCCTTGCCCTTGTCCTGTCATTTTCCACCTGTGTAAAAAGGTGGTTCCCCATCTCTTTGTAAGATCCTTTCTAGAAGATTGCAATGAGGTCTTCCCAGAGTCTTCTCCTCTCCAAGAGAAACAACTCCCTCAACATTTCTTCATAGGTGTGGTGCTTCAGCCCTCTGACCATCTTTGTGGGACTTCTCTGGACACGCTCTAACTGTTACATATCCTTCTTGACCAGGCCTGGAGAACCTACTACACAGTACTCCAGGGTGGGGGTCTCACCAGGGTAGAGAAGAGGGGGACAATCACCTCCCTCTCTCTCCTGGTCACCACTCTTCAGATGTAGTCCAGGACACCACTGGCCTTCCAGGCTGCATGAAGGAAGCTTACCAATGTGGCTCCCATCTACAAGAAGGGCTGTAAGGAGGATCTGGGGAACCACAGGCCTATTGGCCTGACCTCGGTACTAGGGAAAGCTACAGAGCAAATCATCTTGGGTGAGATCACACAGCACATGCGTGGATTCCAGGGGATCAGACCAACCCAGCACGGGTTCATGAACGGCAAGCCATGCTTGACCAACCTCATCTCCTTCTATGACTGGGTGAGCAGACTGGTAGATGAAGGAAAGGCTGTCGATGTAGTCTACCTAAATTTCAGCAAAGCCTTTGACAGCAAAGTTTTTGACAAGGGAAACTGGCTGCCTGTGGTCTGGACAGGTATACCTTTTTGGGTAAGGAACTGGGTAGAGGGCTGTGCCCAACGAGTCGTGGTTAATGGAGTTAAGCCAGGTGACCTGTTACAAGAGGTGTCCCCCAGGGGTCGGTACTGGGGCCCATCTTGTTTAATATCTTTCTTGATGACTTAGATGAAGGGATTGAGTGTATCCTCAGTAAGTTTGCAGATGACACCAAAATGGAAGGTAGTGTCAATCTGCCTGAGGATAGGGAGGCCCTTCAGAGGGATTTAGATAAGTTAGATCATTGGGCTGAGGTGAATGGGATGGGATTCAACAAGGACAAGTGCCAGGTCCTGCACTTTGGCCACAATAATCCCATGCAGCGCTATAGGCTTCAGGCTGAGTGGCTGGATGACTGTGAAGAGGAAAGGGACCGGGGGTGTTGTTTGATGCTTGGCTGAACATGAGCCAACAGTGTGCCCAGGTGGCCAAGAGGGCCAACAGCATCCTGGCCTGCATTAGAAAGTGTGGCCAGCAGGAGCAGAGAGGTGATCATCCCCCTGCTCTCAGCACTGGTGAGGCCATACCTTGAGTCTGTGTTCAGATTTGAGCCCCCCACTACAAGAATGACATTAAGACCCTGGGAATGTATCCAGAGAAGGGCAATGAAACTCGTGAGGGGTCTGGAGCACAACTCCTATAAGGAGCGGCTGAGAAAGCTGGGATTTATTTAGTCTGGAGAAGAGGTGGCTCAGAGGAGACCTTATTGGTTGTGGTGAGGAGGGGTTTGGCCTCTTCTCTCAGGCAACAAACAAAACCCAAGAAAATGGCCACAAGTTGTACCAAAGGACGTTTAGATAAGATACAAGGAAAAACTTTTTCTCTCAGAGAGTGGTCAGGCACTGGAATGGCTGCCCAGGGAGGTGGTGGAGTTGCTATCCCTGGCAGTGTTCAAGAGGCGTCTGGATGAGGAGTTAGCAGATATGGTTTAGTAGCTTGTGGCAACAATGGTGGTGGGAGGACAGTTGGACTAGATGTATCTTGTAGGTCCTTTCCAACCTTGTGATTCTATGATTCTACTGCTATACTGCTGGCTCAGGTCCAGCTTTTCATCAAACAGAATCCCTAGTCCTTCTCTGGATGGCTGACGTCAATGACTTCTTCTCTTATTCTCTCTATATTCATATCTAGGATTGTCTCAGTCCAAGTGCAACACCTTGCTTTTGACCTTACTGAGCCTCATTAGTTCTCATGGGCTCACTTTTCAAGCCTGTCCAGGTGCCTCTGGATGATATCCTTCTCTTCTATTGTAGTGACTGCACCACTCAGTGTTATCAACAAACTTGCTGAGCATACACTCAACCTCACAGTCTCACATCTGTTAATAAAGATGTTGAACACCAGTCTCAAGATGTACCCATACTGGCCATAATCTACAAAGCTTGCTGTTATGAAAACTATGAGGGCTACTCTGCAAGTAATGCTTCCTATTTTACATGGTCTGCTCTGAAAGTAATGCCTCTTATTATCTTATGTTGGCCTATGACATTGAAGGGAGATGTTAGTAGCAAAGCATTTGAACCTTCTCACCAAAATTCCCTTAACATTTTGTTGTTATACAACACATGGCAGCAGAGGGGCAGTTTGACAAAACAGCATCTGACATAGCCATGTGTATGAAGCAAAGATGTGTCACTGAATTCCCCTATATGGAAAAAATTGTTCCCACTGACATTCATTGATGTTTGTTGAATGTTTATGGAGATCAAACAGTGGATATGAGCACAGTAAGGCAGTGGAGTGGTGCACTGTAGCAGTGGCAAAGACAAGCCATGTTCCAGACTGCCATGGAGATCTTCACACGCTTGGAATTCAGGCTCTTGTTTATGGCTAGCAAAAATGTATAGATCATGGTGATAACTATGTAAAAAAATAGTGTTTTTAGCTGAGAATATTCTCTGACAAATAGCATTATTGTTCTCTTGATATTTGTTGTAGTTTCCACCAAAATAAATAAGCATTACTTTTGGATAAACCTACATATACTGCTTTATCATAAAATACCTGTTTGGAGAGTTACTTTAATTTTTTCCCCCTCTCAAAACTACAGTTATTAAGGAAAAGTTGACTATATGATTTATGTGGTTTTACATTTATATGGGTTAAAAATGACCTGCTCTACTGAAAAAAAGATCACAATAGCTAAGCCAGCAGGAAAAAGGCTTAACACCTCAAAGAAATAAAGTATTCATTTCATGATCTATGTAACAAATAAAAATACTCAATTTACATATAGAAGAGGACAGAACTATGCTAACTTGATGGTAAATACAAACAGAAAGCCAGCAAAACAAAGCAAAAAATAAAGTACCCAACAAGAAGATCATGACACAATCAATAGAAAAATACATCATTTCAATTTCCAAACTGAAGCAACACAGAGCTAATATATCATAGAATCATAAATCTGCATTTCTAAGTACAAGTGAATTTGGGCTGTGGGCCCCTGGGCCTCAGTCATATGTTGCCATGAAGGTCTTTCAGCTGCAAAGACCACAATCAGGCAAACAATGCTCAATGAAGGGAGTAAATGTGCATGTCTATTAAGCCATCCAGAAATTCATGTTCTGTTGAAGAAAATAACCATCGCATTGAAGATTTAATATACTCAGAATACCTACTTATCTGTAGGTAAGTTACTCACAGAACCCACACAGGTATTTGTTGCCCAAACAGATGCAAGGTACAAGGCCCATATATATCTGAAAGTTGATATTCAACATGCAACCAGAACTCAGTGAAAGTAAAAATTACCAGTTCACTTATAAACATTTTTGCCATTAGCATAAATAACAAAATCTTCTATGAATATGTTTTGATTTGGTGATCAAAGCAGCTATCTGTAAGAGATCTGATTCTGGAACTAAGGAACAATGAATTTGATCCAATAGGGTTATTTTGATATTTCTAATATTGATCATATATGAAGATTGAATTTTTAAAGGATTAATTATTACTCATGCTGCTCTAACAACCACCAGCATTTACCATGCAACATGTTTCACTTTTCTGTTTCTGCCTGCAACTCCAATGCACCGAAGGATTGATTCTACCTTCCATGCTGTCCTGCACTTATTTAAAATAACAATATAACTTTAACTAGAAAGGAGAATTAATTAACAGATTGAAAATAACCACAATGTAGGAAAATACATTAAAATGCAGAGGGCATAAAAAGCCCTTCACGATTTAATAGTATTCAGCATTCGCAGCCTAGTTTATTAAAATTTTCTTCTTACAGACCATTTCTAGTTATAGGCTGCATTTTTTTTTTTTTTTTTTTTTTTTTTTTTTTTTTGTTTAGTCCAAACTCTTCTCTTGAAAATAATCACTCTCCCCTTCCAGCTTGCTTTTATTTATTTATTTATTTTTAAGAATGGCATTCTCCCACTACAGGTAAATCTTCTGTTAACTACCTTTTATCACTTGAAAAAGCTCTGTGTAAAACATAAGAATAATGAAACCTTTTAAATGAACACAACAAAAGTCACCCACTTGCTGTTGGTATCCACAGGAGGTCAGACAAAGCAGGCACACAGGCAATGGTAGAACATAATGTATCTGCAATAGAAACATACTAAATATTAAAAAAGTTAACGGCCCTGAGCAAATGTATCATTACTTAAGAACTCAGGTGTTGAGTTTCAGATAGTGTGATTCATTCCTTTTTCATTTGCCTGAATTCCTATTGTCTTCTTCATGAAGAACTTTTCAAAACCATATTTTTGGTTTGTTAGACCTTGATCCTTACTGCTAACAATAAGCTGGTACACTAAATGTACACTTGTTTCTTAATTCCTAGCTTGTTTCTTGTTTCTTAATTCCTGTTTTTTTCTTACACTGTGTTTTTTCTTTTTTGTAGATAAATTGGTTTAAGAGAACTTTTGATGGCATTAGAAGAGAAATGAAACGAATAAAAAAATGACATGGCACATTCACTTAAGGTTGTAACACTCCATTTTGCTAAAACAATTCTAGCTAAAAACTGATAACACCCTCTCCTTATAATCTGTGTGGAAGTTAGTACCAAATGTCTTGCAGGAGGAAGGACAAGGGCATGCCTACTTTCATTCTCTTTGCATATTTCTGTGGTTGTAATAAACACCATTTGAAAGCATTTAAGCAAAACAGTAGCTCTATCCATCAGTGAAAAAAATGGAAATACCCTGCTGTGATGCTTCAACCACAAGAAAAGGCTGAAGAAGAGAGAAACAAAAGCACATTTTAAAGCTGACTAGAAGAGAAAAAAAAAAAACACGATAGTGGATAATTGAAAATGGATGAAACTCAGAGAACACTGCAGAGTTTAGATTTGATGACTTTTCAGACAAGTCTTGGGCAGAAGGAAAAAAAAAGGAAATTAAATTCCTCAGCACCACCTGCTACTTCTACCAGGTTTACCATCCATGGCCCTGAAAAATGGAACTCACCTAACACAGCTGCAAAGTGAGCTTCTGTCTCCACATAAATCAGACTTGTGAGAACAGTGTTTCTTCTGTTGTGAATCTTGCTTTAGAGATAAGCAGTTACACCTTGTTCGGACAGCTGCATATTTTCTGTGCACCTTCAAGGATGCTCCTTAAAATGCTGTCTGGTCTTCCAAGTAGTATCCGATACAAAGTCCTCTAGAGTTAATTCAAGTTTTCCAGACCTGTGTTAAGGCATGGAATAAATTGCTCAGGGGCAGAGCAGCATATCATTCACCTTTGGAGCATATGCTCCTTGGATTTTAATCTGATGGCACCAGTTCCAACAGAGCACACAACCATAACCTGCTCATGCAGGCTGCAGACCTCTGGGCAGTGCTGGGTAATTCTAAATTACCTTCTGCTCTGAGACTACTGTTTCATGCTTGTTACTCCCAGTCTGGCTTTCGAGTGAGGAAAACCACATGGAGATTTACCTGACTGTAATGGGTTGTGAACTTTACCCCAAAACTCCAGATCAACTGCACAATATTTTAAGTTATATGAGGCAGTCGGCAATGAACTGATGATACAAACCACGTTGAGTTAATGATGCAACTCACTTCCACTCTGGCTATAGCAGTGCCCATTAGAACAAGGGTTACAATACTTCGACAAGCTCAGTAACATCACAGTTTGCACTTCAAGCACAACAATTGGGTAAAGCAGCCAAACATGAAGTCTATAATACTTCACTTAACAAACAGAAAAATGACTGCGTAAGATAGAACAGCTCACAGCTCTGGACAAAAACACCGTCAGCACTGTCAAAATTGTCAACACTGAATATGCTCATTATGGCTATTGTAACATCTCCCTCCTTTGGTCAACCTCTGTTCCTCCTGCCTACAGACATATCTATTTATAAGATCTTCATCAAGGCCATACAAAATTATGTACTTCATTTATACACTTTTCAGGCTGAGTAAGTCTTGTATAACATAGCTTGTTCTTTTAGCAGCAGACTTTCAAAGAATGCCATCCATATTACAGTTTGGACTGACCTGACAGTGCACCATCTTGCCTAAAATCCAGCTCTCTCATTTCCTCCAGTTTGTTCACGTTTACACCAGACCACATTTCTGACAGTTAAATTCCCAGTTGCAAAACAAAGTCTAGAATCTAATGAAACAGTTAAGTATGTCCACCATCTCCCTGCTGCTGTGATTTGCAAAGAACACAGTACAGATGCAGTGGAGATTCTGCAAGCTGAAATAGGCCCTTCTCAGTAAGCTTTTAGAATTCCTATAATTGCAATTAATGCTTGTTGTGTCTGCTACTAAGCAACTTGAATACTCAATCCATAAGCAAGTGAGGAGAAATATAAAAAATAGCATTTTCTATTTTTTTTACATTTCTAAATAAGGTCTTAGATACCTCCCAACAACACTATTAGTTTATAGTCAGTAAGTAGGACATCATCTTTAAGCTTGAAAATACCAGAAACACACATTTTTCACCTTATACACACATACTTCTTTCAAGAAACTTGAAAGAATATCATGAACAGCAACTATGAGAACCTTCTCAATTGATGGTAAGTAGGTTGTCACAGGATAGGTATGAGCACAGAAATGTCTCACAAAGCTCTAACATAATTAATAATTCTAATGACTATTATAGATCTTGTTACAAGAACATTAAATGAAATTTTACTTATTTATATAAGATGAGAGTAAGATGAAAAGTCTGTCAGTTCCCAACTTCAGACTGCTTTGATAGCCTCTTTGTTTATGTTTATTATACTTAATATTTATACTCAGAATATCTTCACAATTCGATTTGGTTATACAAGCAGATGGAGCACAAATAAACCTGCTCATAGCATGCATCCGCGAAAACTTTAAATCTTGAAAATGTAACAGTATTCATTTTGTGCATGTAACATGCAGTAACCTTGATATGATTTGCTTTGTTGGCTGCTCTTTTTCTTTGGACAGAAAAACATATTAAGTTAAAGGACTCAAATGTATACATTTCTCTAACAAGTATTTAAACTTATCATCAAAATATTGGTGCATGCAGTGGTACTGCTACTCCTTAAAGGATCAACAAAAGATTATTATGGTTTTGCTCAGACAAAACGCGGTTGAACAGCACCTGGTATTTCATCAAAAAGGAAAAATCACTACAACAGATCCAGTTTCCACCACATATACTCACAAGAAATCATTCTTCTCACTAACTTTATCAAACTCACAGTACTCAGCAACAAAAATACTTTAGCAGTCTCAAGAATCTGAGAAACTTCTCCACTGCTTAAACTACAGAAGCCAATTTAATCAGACAGTTAATCCACACTTTAATTGTATCATACTCTGCACTTAGAGAACTCTGCTGTCCTTTTCCAGGTAACATGTTCTGACTTCAAAAGCAGCTTTCACAAAAATCTAAATGTCTTCCCTTAAGCATATTTAAAGGCATTCTGTAGAGAAGTAATATACCTTCAGTTACCACTGCCTCTTGTTCACATGCTCCACTTTTTGCCCTGTGCAAGTTAAATACATAGACACAAGAAAAGCAATGGTTCATACAAGAAACAACTGCTAAATTTAGATTATTCCAAAGGAATTTTTCCTATTTCATCAGCTATGTTAATATCACATAATGATTTTTAATATATCAGAAATTTGAACACAAATGGTAAAAAGCAGATGCAGAACGAAGATGACAGATCTGTAACATATCAACAACAAAACATGTGGTAAAATAACCTGGAGAAACAAAGATAACATTTGCTTACAGTTTTCCCTTGGTAAACCACTGACTTGTATCAGCAATTCAGCAAGAGTCCACAAACTCTTGCACAAGGAAAGAGTAATGATCCTGGTCTGATCTGCCTGCACGACACAGGGGCTAACTGGACAGAAGCTGCTAGTGTGAGACTTTTAGTCTGTTGCTTTGATTAGAAACAAAAATTGGGATTTCTATGTTATCCACAACTGAAAGAAGCCGTTACTCTAGCTGTTCTCAGGAAGAAAGCTGCCAAGAAATGTTGTCTAAAAAGCAAATGAAAAATACATTACAGAAGCCTGGCCATCATAGTAATCTTTGTAGGTGAGCTGCCAAAAAAAAAAAAAAAAAAGCGATCAAATCAAAGGTTACCCACAGACAACAGCTCTGGTTGGGTTCCATCAGAACTCTGGCAAAAGCTGGTTTGTGTCTGCAAATCATTTAAATTTCACCATGTTGATAAACTTCAGCAAAAGATTATTTCATCAGAAAATTTCCAAGCAATTCAAATAGTTGCCCAACTGTTCTGGCAAATAATATTTCCCAAGACATGACATTTGAGATTCCTTAGTCCATCAGAGCCACCATCATCTGCACAGCCTTATATGCACAGAGGACGTGGGATGAGTAAACACAGTAGGTCAGACAGACCTCTCACACAAGGTACATAAAAAAAACATTCATTTCCCTAATACATCTCTCAAATTCTTATGAAATGATGCAATGAAGAATGACAACAGCAAAACCAGGACACTATACAGCAGGTCAATCTGTATGCCCTTGCTTGAAACTGAAGTGGATACAAAAGAGATCTCAAGAACATCTTCAATGTGAGTTTTTTTCTCTTATAAACAGTCTGCTAGCTGTGGAGACTAAGTGTATTTCCATAACTACACCACATCGTGCTGGATTTTATGTTTCATAAGCAATATTGAAAGCGGAATTCTATTTACTATATCAGACCGTGAAATAAGGCTTAATTAGTACAGGACAGATACTCGCTAATTATTTCTGTAATTTATTTCAAAAATATATTAAAAAAAAAAAGCTGATGTTCCTGTATATCTGGGGCAAATTAAATCAAGGTAAATAGTATTTTTGAAGGTTGCTGACTGGTAGTTTCATTCTACCTGGTGGCTTTTGGTTGCAGAAAATGTTGAACCACTTTCCTACATCAAAGTACTGGCTTATGAGTAAAAACAAATACTAATAAATTACCAATGAACTAAAAAGCAATAAAGGTTAAAAAAAAAAAAAAAAATCACATTCCAAAGTGGAAAAAATATTCTGATTCACCACTAGAAACAGAAAGCGGTATTTTTCTCTTAAAAGGCATTTCTGTCATAAACAATGTTTAGGGGAAAAACCTGCCAATCCAGAGTACACAGGTGACAGTTATAGCTACATTCATGAGTTAAAATAAGTATTGAAAGCACAAAGGAAAACAAAAAGTGCAACGCAGCAGCAACAAAGTCATGTTTCTAACTGCTTGGATTTCTTAAACATTAAGAGATCCTACACTGGTCATATCAAATAGTGGGGAAGTGATGCTGGAAGACAGTTTTGAAGAAATCAAGTTAACCTTTTCAAAAAATACAATTCCCTGTGCTACAACTGAAGAAGGATTTGTCAAAACATGAACCAACAATTGTTTGTACAGTTCTGTGTTGCCAAAGAACAACGTCAATAATTACAAAACAAATGCCAGTTTAGCAGATGCTGTCAAGAACCAAGCAAGTGACACTAAACTACTAAAAGCCATATGCATTTCACATTGCAGTGCGAGTGACACAGCAGAAAACAGCCCCTGTATCCACAATTGAAAGCCTCAAAAACTGTCCCTCTTCTCTCAGCCTTCAAACACCTGTCCTTTTCCTTTGGGAGGCAGAGATTTCTCAGCAGATGTCTGCTCTCAAGAGCTTAACTGCAGAGGAAATGGAACAGTCATGATCCATCACTTGCCATAGCTTCTGAAGAGCACTTAAATCTGAGCCAACTTCCTTATCCCCTCCAGCAACAGGACTGCTGTGAAGCTTCAAGCCTACGCAAATGATATCTTCTGGGCAAACAACAGCACAAATCCTTCATCACATAGTTATATCCGGGTAGAACACACAGCGTTCTCTTCCTTCACGGAAGATGAAGGGATCTCATGGCAAACATTTCTGTGAGGAAAATTAGTCAACTCTTTCCTGCTACCATTGAGAACTAGGACAAACTGCCCAGTTTGTAGCGGTTCAGCAAGCTGTTCCAAGAACAGGATTTTAAAAAGTTGAAGTCTTTGGGGCATTCCTTGTGAATTCTGCTATCTCCCTTTTCTTGTCCTCTTATCTCACTTCCCCAGTTTGGCAACTTCCCTCCTTAGATGTTAGTACAACTACTGCCTCTGAAGAAACTGTCATACATGTTTACATAGTGTGCAGAAATTCATGCGAGTTCAGAAGCTAGTTTTCTTCCTGGGAAGGAGGAGCAGAAGTAACACCACAAAACTCTCATAGGTTCAGTCTTATAAGTGGGAGGAGGTATGAAGAAGAAGGAAGTAACAGAAAGCAAAGATGAAAGGTGACAAAACAAGCTTTTTAGACCTTACTCCCTCAAGATGACTCAAAACACTTTCCTTCTGAGGTTTAATCTCCTCTAACACAACTTGAATTTATAAGCATATGAAAAAAATAGGGGAAGAAAATGAACCAGAGACAGATACCAACCACTGACCAAGCATCAGAACAATTTAAGAAGTGTTAACCAACTCCAAAAATAATTAAGGAGATTTTTAGTCTCCTTACATGCAGTGAGAAACCACTGCAAAGAATTGTATTGCTATACCTCCTTGCTGTACTGTCCAAGACAAATAAGTGTCTGCAGTTTCAACAGTCAGGATGTCATAACAGACTACTTTTCTGTCACACTTCTAACCCTCTAACATATAGACAATAATGGCATACCTTCACACTTCACCATACAGGGTAGAACATCATGGAAAATATCATCACAACCTCAGTCAGCTTTTCTGCCTACAAAAAGAGAAAATAAATACATGAACCATGTTTTTCACTGAATTATTTTTATAAGATACCCCTTCAGCTGTCCTCAATTCTGTGATTTTTGGTTTCTTTTTTCTTCCAGCTTTCACAACTGGACCAAGCAAAGTGTAAAGTTGACTTGGACAAGAACATTGCATAATATACTGCTTGAAGAATACAACTGACCTCAACTTCTCTAACATTTTTCAGTAAAAACTAGGGGGTCGAGCGCAAGAAGACAAGTAAAACAGAGATAATTGCCAACAGTTTGAAATATCAAGGTGAATGAAGTCACCCTGTACTTCTATCCCAGCTTTTACAACAGTAGAAGAGAATCTGAAAATGTGCATTTTACCGAATTAGCTCTTTGCCAAGGGAACTGTCAGAAAGTAAACAAGATAACATTTAAGTCAGAGTGAATCAGCAATCTCTACAGACAGCCAAAAGGTATAGATTCCACTGTCTCCTTTGCACCCTAGTCTTCAGCCCACCCTGCTTTTATAGCTTCCCTTAATTGCTTCAGTTTAGAAATTACATACAAACAGACAAGACCTGATGCAAATTTCATGTACAAATTCCTTAAAGTGTGAGTGGGTGTTTTTTGTTTTTTTTTCTTTTGTTTGGATGCATTACTTCTTTTTTAAAATATGCTTTAAATTACTTAAACAAAACAAACCTAAGCCTTTATATATAAGCTCCACTAACTTGAAATGTTGATTTTATTTACAGGCATTTAAGTCTGACTTATTTCAGAAAATTTAATCCCAATCAATTTAATCACAATCTGTATAAGATGCTATATATTTGTTTTTAATTTTTCTATAGTATTGCACTAGCAAGTAAAAACCTACTGAAGACTTGACCTGTCCTAGGAAACAAAACTAAAAAGAAACCACAGCAACACTTTCCTACTTGCAACATCCTTGATCATAAATGAATTCAATGACACTACAAACAGTCATGGAGCACAAACTAGATCAGATGAATTATTAGAGAATTAGGGTCTGGTTACTTAACGTGATAAAAAACAAATACAAAAAAGACCCTCTAAGAAATTCAAGTAACAATATCATTCAAGGCAATGCCAAAGTAATACTTGCAAAGAACTGATTTTTGTAAATGGCAGTTTAACTAATGCTAAAACTCCCAAGCCTGTATCAATGCATTCAAAAGCTTCTTAAATAGTGAGTGACTTAAGAGTTCAATTATTATACATATAAACATGGCATTTTCTGTTATTCTTTTATAGAAGGGTTCTAGCATGTTAAAAAAAAAAAAAAAATGGAGTGTTCTTTTTTTAAACCCTTTTAATTGCTTTATAATGTTGAATCATTTATGATAACAACACTGACATTTTATCTTTATAATTCAGGAAAATGTACTTGCATGATAGTTTACTTAATGCCTCTTTAATCATCAGTGGCCTGAGAGTCCTCCACTTGTTCCCTATCTGAAATACCAGCCAGCTTTTGCAAAGATACAGCACTACAAGCTTTGCCAAGATCACGTTATCTCTATAAACACAGATTGTCAGGAAAAAAAAAAAAAAGTTGGAAGCAAAAAAAATAAAAAAACAACCCAGGGCTCTGAAAGTAAACAAAGGCTGGTCGTTAAATGGGCCACTAGTGGAAATTCCACAAAAAATGATGAAAATGAGCAACTCGTTTAAAATAAGGGATAATAACAAATCTAATGAAGACAACCACATTTTACCAATGTAACGTATCAAATTCTCTGTTTTCTTGTGGAATATAAACGAAGCAAACTTATTTTTTTCTTTTTTTCTACTGAAGAAACCAATGCTTATAATATGCATCTATTTTTTACAGAACTCTCATCTGAGTAAGATTATTCAAACTTAGTTGTTTGCTTTACTTCTAAAGGAAGAAATAAGCATTTCTGAATAAGATAAATATAGGGAGCTATTTATACATGTATTGTGTGTTTTCCTCAGCTCTGAAGTTACAGACAGAACTATCATGATTTTTGACATTAAATCCTGACAAAAACATTAAAGAAATTGCAGAAAGTAAGAGCACGAGAATCGTGCCCCACTAATTCAAAAAGCAACAGCAGACTACCTGACAAATTCATGAAAATAATATAATGAAAAGCAAATAAGGATTCAAATACAGTAGCTGAAGATTAAAATCATAAGTACCTGTTTGAAATACATTTTTCTGTTTCTCTCAGAAATAAGACTAACTGCTGGAACAGTCAAGAAAGCAGTAGATTCTTTATTTTTTAGTTTTAAAATAGGAGTTGATACAAAATAGATTTTAGATAAACTCATATTACTGGACTGTGTGCAGGAGGAAATCCAAGATATAACCAGCACCGATAACAGAAGATAGATAAGAAGATGGTGTTCTTTTTAGGATTTCAAAATGTGTCACTCTAGATTGTGCTATTATCAGATCCTTTACAAAAGGACATTATAAAGAAAGAAGAAATATCTAAAGCATAACTATATTTTTATACTAATAAATTGTTTATAACAAGTTACATTACAAAATTCCCACTGAACAAATGCTAAGCTTCCTAAAAGTTTATCTATCGGGTGACAAAGACCTAACAAAGTCTCTCAGTACATGCCACAGTACAACCTTAACCTCAGTTCTTAACTCAGGGGCTTCCACCTACGTTCCAATCTTGGATGAGCTCAAACAACTCTAAGGAAACTTCCCTGGATGTACCCACTCAGTAATGCCAAACATAACATGAGTTCCTTCTGCTTAACTTCAGTCCTATTCAGAAACCATCCAGGATAGCATACTGCCTAAGTAACAGAACAATAAATAATTTTTCCTTGACCAGTCTTAAATTCGTGAGCAACTTCAATTTTCTGTGGAGCTTTTCAGCATAATGCATATACACAATTGCAGCTTTAACTCAGTTCAGCCAGGCTACAAATTCCAAACTTAGCTGCAAGGGTCAAGAAGGAGCTGCTGCAAGAGGGTAGACCTTCATGGACTTCAAGAATCACATCCCCAGGCAAAACAGAAAAAAACCCAAATATTAATATCTAACTAATAAACAGGTGACAAAAAACAAGCCATAATCATAACCCAGCTATCATAATCCGATAAACCCAGCTAAGCTTTCCCCAAAAAGTTTATCAAAAGCACTTCAGCCTCACTTTGATAAATTTTTATTAAAAGCCATTTCTTTTAGTAGGTGAACTGGATCTAAATCTAAAAACCAGTAACACGTTACAATCAAAGTGGTATTGTGTTGGTTTTTTTTTGGGGGGAGAGTGGGGGTTTGAACATGGAAGCTGCACAGAGCAAGACTTGCTTCCAGCTGAACTCGGGGACAAATTGCCAAGACCTCCTGAAGTCAACAGGGGGTTTTACAACCAGCTCTTGACTTTACGCACAGTTTGGACTCCTGAACATCTACCTTTAATATGCAACAAATGACAAATTACTACAAATACTACCTGTTACAATATTTGTTAAATGTATATTCTAATCAAGCTGACTACAACTGAAATCCCAAGCAGGAATTAAAGTTGTCTGAATAAGCCACTTCTGACAAGGCTTTCCAGTTGATACAAATGGATATCCTGCTACTCTCTCCTACCCTTAAGTGTTCGTTATATCTGTTCACCTACCAATAAACGATCTTTTAAATTGATTTTTTTCTTTCTTAATTGGCACACAGTAAGAACTTTGACTGCCAGTACATGTAAGAAACACTACACCCACACCTAGTTCCAAACCAAGCATCTATATACCCACCTGCCAATTTCATCAAATAATAAATCATTTGAGTTTCATTTTATTAATCAAAACAAGAAGGTCAAAGTGCAATTACAGTCCTCTGGTACACAGACAGATGAAAAAAATGAACAAAAAACACCCCAAGAGATAGGATAAGCCAAACCATGGCCCTATTTTGTATGTTGTTGGTAAATTTTATATGGCATTAAATTTATTTAAAAACAAAACCCTACAATGTAGTTTTATTATAGATAAAGAACATGTTTCTATGAGTCACAAATAGCCATCAGATTGTCTAGAATATTAGAGGCAAACTTTACCAACTGCAAAGGCACTTGAATACACAGTTGTTTCCATACTCTTGTCTGCATTGCACTTTGGTACTAGGGTACTTTAAATAGAACAATCACTATTCTTATTTTCTAGACTTTACAGAAATACAAGGAGTCTCAATTATTTGCCTAATTTCACACTGTAAGCCACTGATAGATCAGATACTAATACAACTATTGGTTTCACAATACAGTTAACAGAATGGATTTCTATTGTAAAGAAGAAAATGCCTCAAAATTCCTTTCAAGGAAGGTGAGTAGCTGCAATGAAGCACCACCACTAAAGAAGCTCTGCTGAAATCCCCAAACTGCTCAAACATTGCAAAAGAAAATGCACTTTTAAATTAAATTCTTAGCATAATTCTCCTCATACACAGCATCTCAGTTTCAGTTCTCAGTCTTAGTAGAAGAAATCTCAAGCAGGGGAATGAAAAATAATCTTACCTGAACCCACAAAGTTCAATATAAAGGGCACACATTAAAAAAAAAAAAAATCCACAAAACGAAACTACGCAAATGAATAATCCTTAAGAGGGAAAGACAGAAGAGAGACATGTAATGCACCTTAAGCAAAGAACACAATAATTCCATAAGCTGTTTTCAGAATTTCTGTCCAATTACTTTTTAGAGTTCCAAAAAAGTGAATTATACAACAAATACAACACTACATTAACATCTCTATCAAAGGTTGTGGGTGTATTTTTGAGTGCCTAATAGGTGACTAAGATATTCCTCACACATTCAGCAGAAGCAGGATTCTTAGTGCTTCAGTCATTCTGATCCAATCTAAATGCCATCACTGTGTAGACTTTAAATAAAAACAAAATCACAAAAAGGGATTCTTGTTAATTCTTCCATCCCCATTTATGATGGATGAATTCTAAAAGTGAGGTTTGTCTCCTTCATTGGATAGCTGTATCCGTTTCCCCCAAACTGTTTCCTGTTTCATGGATAGTACCACTGCTTAAACACTTGACTTCATCAAGCTACTAGTACAAGTAACATACATCACTATGAACTCATGTAAGGATAGTATAACGTGGGAAGATCCTGCCAGTCACTTCAGACAGATGTGACAGATTGCTTTCTTCTTAAGAAAAGTAGTTTGATGATTCTCATAATCCATGCAGGAGGTTAGTGACCCCTTCAGAAGCAAAGTAACAAAAAAAGTGGTAGAGATTAACTGTCTTCCTTCGTGCTTTTGTTGACAGCAAGATTGCATAATGGATTCATTCTCTGATGAATAATTTCATC